TTCCATTTAGTAGAAGGAAAAGATAGGAAAAAGCATGGGGTCTGTGGTAAGGACATCATTATTCTGCTGAAGCTTCATAATTCCAGTATGTAAAATTCCACTTTACAAATGAAGAATGGAGATGACAAGGTGAAACCACCTAAGCCAATCTAAAACCATTAGCAAATGGTGCAATCGGTATTTGATCCAAATCTCTCTAGCCCCAAGCAATTGCTGGTAACGGATGAAAACAAGTAGTCAAGAGACAAAGTTGAAAAGGAGAACTCTCAATCAGGTGTTGTTCCAAACACCAATGTGGTCTGCCCATGGCATAGCTCCATCAGGGACACTAATCCATCTATTTGCTTCTCTAATGATCTGCCATTACCTAGGGGACTTGCTCTTCTTGCCATTTTGCCACAAATGACTGTGTGATGAATCACACAGTGACTCACATTTGCCACAAATGACTGCTGAGAAGTATAGCCTAACTATGAGGCACTTCAGAAGCTGTGAGAAGTCCAAGGAGTAGGGAATCTTTCTCTAATATATAATGATCTTGTAGACCTAGTTATAAAGTCAATGCAAAGGCTTAAATGGGAGAGATCCTACCACTATAGGAGAGGACCAAGACACCCTTTCTATTCAATGCTAGAAGCTGCACTGATTTCTTTGTAATCCTTAGGAAAGGCCCACCCAGCCAGCTGGTTTGGGCCTGATGTTGCAGCTAATCAATATTAGTCTGGATAACATATGTATGGCTGACATTCCATTGGTAATCCTCTAGCTATTTTGAAGCTTCTTCTCTCCTGCCAACTCTACAGAAGCTGGAAATCCAGACACTCACTGTCCTAAACCTCCCTTTCATGGGTGGTCTTGTGACCCAACTATTGAGAAGTAAGTGTGTAAAAAGGACTCTGGGCAGGTTTCCTTCCCTGATGAAAGGGAAAGTGGGGTTTCTACATGACTCCCCTTTCTACTTCTTCCCAATTTGTACAAGGACATGATGTCTAGGGTTACGATAGTCATCTGTGACCATGAAGGAACAAGCCAGAGGATGAAACACAACATGCTAAAGATGGCAGGGCATTAGACAAAAAGGTCTTACTGGCCAACCACTGATGGGGAAGCAAGGTCATATGCCAGACATTAGGCCCTCTACTTGACACTGGTAGAGTCAAGAGTGAGGAAGACACAGACTCAGCTTGCTAGAATTCTCACTTCTCGAGGATTTGAGCAGGGTCCAGTCTGAATCATCATGGATCCTGGTATACTGAACACAAAGCACTGCAACATGCAACCACTTTCCATATGGGAGATGTTTGACACATCTATCAAGAATAGTACCTTGGGGTGCCTGGGTGGCTCAGTTGGTTAAGCGACTGCCTTCGGCTCAGGTCATGATCCTGGAGTCCCGGGATCGAGTCCTGCATCGGGCTCCCTGCTCGGCAGGGAGTCTGCTTCTCCCTCTGACCCTCCTCCCTCTCATGCTCTCTGTCTCTCATTCTCTCACAAATAAATAAAATCTTAAAAAAAAAAAGAATAGTACCTTGGCCAGGTCTAACCCAGGGTCTAGAAAGAGAACTAAGAGGTTGAGGTTTTCCCTGGAGGTACTAGATTTATGGAAAGAAGCAACAAAAAGAGCAAAATCATCCTCAAAGCCCATGTAGACCTCAGATACTGCAGAAATTGCAATGAGCCTAAATACAGGGGTATATATATTCCTATACAAGTTAGGGGTCAAACTCCAGGCAGTAGTTGGGTTCTCCTGGCCCCCTCAGCAGCAGAAGGTAAACAGAAACAACTTGCTAACCACAACTCAACCAAAAAATCAATCGCAGTATGGGACTGGGGAATTCTAATATGTTATCCTGGCTACTAAGCAAAAGTCTGCCTTAAAAATATTAACTGGATCAGGGGCGCCTGGCTGGCTCAGTTGGAAGATCATGTGACTCTTGATCTCTAGGTCATGAGTTGGAGCCCCACACTGAGTGTAGAGATTACTAAATAAATAAACCTAAAAAAATTAACTGGAACATGAATGTATCTGTATTACTGAAGTTAAAAAGATGCACAAGAGAAGTGAGATGTGGCTTTTGACTCATTGAACAGCATCTATAGCCAATGAAGGGTCAGAAAGCTTTTTTACATACTCAACTATATTAAGTTTGTATATTTTCTTTATTTTTTAATTTAAAAAAGCTTTACTTTGTTTCTAATTACAAAGGTATACATCCTTATGGAGAAATACTTAAATACAGAAATAAGTTCACATTACTCATTATATTAGTTTCCTATTGCTGCTATAGCAAATTATCACACATTTAATGGCCTAAAACTACAGAGATTTATTATCTTACCCTTCTGGAGGTCAGAAGTCTCAGTGGGCTAAAATCAAGGGGTCAGCAAGGCTAGGGTTCCTCTGAAAATTTTGGGGGGAGAATCTCTTTCCTTGCCTTTTCCACTTTCTAGAAGCCATCTGCATTCCTTGGCTCATGGCCCTTCCTCCATCTTTAAAGGCAGCAAGGTAGTTTAAGTCTCTAACTCTGATACTGATTCTCTTGTCTTGCTCCTTCACTTTCAGGGACTCTTGTGATTACATTGGACCCATCTGGACAATCTAGAATACTTTCCCTATCTCAAAGTCTACTGATTTTTACCCCTAATTCCATCTGCAACCTTAATTATCCCTTACCACGTAATATAACATAGTCACAGGTTTCAGGGATTAGGACATTTTGGGGAGGCATTATTTTACCTACCACACCCACTATTTTACTAACCAGGATTAACCACAGTGAATATTTTAGTGAACAATTCCTTCCAGACCACTCCGCATGCATATGCATATAGAGATCTACCTATATACTTATTTATGTATATAGATATATAAAAATTGAATATTACACTTATCTTTTGCTACTTGCTTTTTCCACTTAACCTCATGGGAAATGTGTGTAGATTTCTACCCATTATTTTTAATAGCTACCACATTATCACTTTACCATTGAATAATATTTTTGGAGTAAATACCATGTGTTGAACACAGCATTAAGTGCTCACTTAATTTAGTCCTTACAACATTCCTACGAACTAAGAGCTATTATTACCACCACCATCCCTTCAGAGCAAGGACACTGGAGGGCGTTCATAGAGAGATTAACTTGCTCAAGAGACACCGTTAGTGGTTAGTGGTAGTACTCATTTTAACTACCCTATAACCATGCTCTTCACCACATGGTGACCTGCTTCCTAGGATATGCCACACAGACGTCCCTTAGGTTATTTAAACCTAGTGTCCTACTATAAACCATTTTGGCTGTTTGTAATTTTTTACTATTGAAAATAGAACTGAAATAAACAAGATCATACCCATGTCCTTGGACACACTTGTGATGATTTAAGAACAATTCTTTGAACTATTGCTATATGCTAAGACTCTTCTTTTTTTTTATGCTAAGACTCTTTATATGTATTTCCAAAATGTCCCTCAGACAAGGTACAGTAATTCACACTCTCAGTGTCAACACTTTGAATTATTATTCTTTTTAATCTTAATAATATAATGAGGCAAATGGGTATATTATTTTTTCTTTGCTAATTTCTTTAAATGTTCTTTCAATATATTTCTTGAGAATTTTTTTTCTTTTATGAAGTGCCTGTTCATGTTGTTTGCCCAGGTTTCTATTTGGGAATTAATAAAGTTCCTTTTAAAGGATGGTTTGGATTTTGTAAAGGTCATCCCACATAGAAGGAACGATGAGTCAAAGTAGAAGCTGAAAACACCTCAGAAAACATGTTCAGGAAAAAGAATGAAAATAGACATAAAAAGTCAAAATCTAAGGACACCTGGGTGGCTCAGTCGGTTAAGCATCTGCCTTTGGCTCAGGTCATGATCCCGGGGTCCTGGGATCGAGCCCCACATCGGGCTCCCCGCTCAGCGGAGAGTCTGCTTCTCCCTCTGCCTGCCGCTCCCCCTGCTTGTGCTTTCTCTCTCTCTCTCTCTCCGTCAAATAAATAATTAAAATCTTAAAAAAAAGAAAAAGTCATAAAATCTAAAACAAATCCAGTAAGGCCCCCTTAGAGATTGGCCTCATTCATAGACAGTGGAGAGCAATGTGGTCCAAATGAGGTGATGAGCAGGAAGAACATTCTGGTTACAGCATACATGTTGGCTTGCGGGGACCAGTGTGGGTAGCTCAAGAAGAGAGGAGCTTCCCACGGGGAAAGTGCTACAAGGGCCATAGAAACGAAAGCGGACGGCGGGGAGGCGCCGGAGAGACGAGAAAGGGGCCACAACCCTGGGCTGCGCCCACGTGCGCACGCCGACTGCTGAGCGGCTGCCGAGAGCGAGCGGCACCGGCTCCCACTGCTGCTGTCTCTGGAGCCACCAAAACTACGGGGACTTGCACTCCACTGTGGCCTCTCCTGGAGACAGGCCCAGAAATGGCTTCTTGGCCGGCTAATGTCCCACCAGTGTCTCCTCCTGGTGGGACTTCGGAAACCATCTGGCAAGAGCGTTTGAGAAGTGCAGTTTCCGGGCTTGCTGCCTCTGCCACACACAGGAGCGCACAGAAAAGCGGGGGGGGGGGGGGGGGGGGGATCGGAATGCCAATAGACGCAACCTAGCAAAAGAGGGGACCCAGGAGAGTGTCCCCCGCCAGGATACGGCTCTCCCTGGAGGGAGGCCTGGATTCTAGAACTAGTTTTGTTACTGACATGCTGGTCTCCTCCAAGGCAGTATAGCAAAGTGATTCGGCGCATAGGCTCAGTGTCCTCATTGGAAAGTGGGAAATCATCACCACCTCAGATTTTGTAAACGTTAAATGGGTTACTGTAAAGGACTAAGAAGGTGCCTGCAAAGTAGGAAGCATTCAACAAATGATAGCTATTGTCACTGTCACTATCTGATTTTAGTTTGCCGTCTGTAAAGGTTTGTTTTTTTTTTTAAGATTTTATTTATTCATTTATTTGAGAGAGTGAGAGAGAGAGAGAGCACATGAGAGGGGGGAAGGTCACAGGGAGAAGCAGACTCCCTGCCGAACAGGGAGCCTGATGCGGGACTCGATCCCGGGACTCCAGGATCATGACCTGAGCCGAAGGCAGTCGCTTAACCAACTGAGCCACCCAGGCACCCTGCCGTCTGTAAAGTTTTAAGAAGAGAGTTAAGTCATCTTTGCTGATTTGGCGCCAGCCAGAGGAAAGGGGAACTAATGGTTGCCCTCAATCTGAGCCTGGCACGGGGCTGAAATTTGGAGATGCAGAGAAAAAATAAACAGTATCCCTGCCTCCAAGAGCTCACCGTTTCATGAGAGGACAGAGGAAAACCACTGATTCAAGGTAAAACGCGCTCAGTGATAGACTAGATCCAAGGAAGGTTCTAGAAGAGTACAGAGATGGGTTTGGCAGCAGAGTGGGAAGATCTATACGGACTCCACTTTAAATCCAAAATCATGTTCTGTGACCGTGGGCAGATCACTTAGTCATCCCCGCCTGTTCCCCAGTCCGTAAAAGCGGAGCTAGTAGGACCTGCCTCACAAAGCCCCGTGGAAATCAGAGCCCCTCCTGCAGGCGCTGGCACAGAGATGCGTTCACAAGTGAGCATTACTAGGACTCCAGGGCTCCAGACAAACGCCCAGGACCCGAACAGACAGGCAAACGGAAGGCGGAAGGGCGGGCGGGAGAGCGGCCCCGCCCCCCAGGATCGCGTAATTACAGCGGCTGAAGTTAACAGAACCTGGGAGGCACCCACCCCCGGGGGCGCACGGGCCTCGGCGTCTCTGTCGCCCGTGGCAACCGGCCGTCCTGGCGCCAGGCCTGAGAGGCACCGCGCAGGAGCAGCAAGATGGCCCTGAGCTCCTGGTCCCCAGAGCTGGGGCTCGGCGAGAAGGCGCTGCGGGAGGCAGCCGTCTCCGCCGGCCCCTCGCTGGAGCTGTGCACCTTCCCGTCCTCCCTGGGCTCGTCGGTGGCGACCGCGGCGCTGGAGCAGCTCTTGGTTGTGGGTGAGACGCCTGCGGGCGCCGGGAGGGACGGCGCCTCGGAGGTGGCACCCAGCCGGCACCGGGCGGGGGGGCCCTCAGCCGGGGCCTTCCTGCGGGAACCCGGGGTGTCCACGCTACGGCAGAGCCCTCTCAGGCTCCTTGGGGGGGAGAGAGAGAGAGAGGCAGCGCGGGGGGACCCAGGGCTCAGCTCTCCTCCTCTAGTGCCAATGGAGTGACTTGGCCCGGCTCACACTAGCAACTGGTGACAAACTCCAGGCAAAGCTTGGACTCTCGGGCCACTGCCATTTGCCTGCGACTGGGCTGCCCACCTGCATTTAGATTATGCATTTAATTTCAGCTTCTCCCTTCTTTTCTTTGCAAGTTAACTTCCTCCAACATTTTGTCATGATAAAGTGGAGAATTTAACAGGCAAACAAGAAAGGGAGTGTTTAAGAAGCTCCTCTTGTATTAAACAAGGAAAATTAGACAAGGATGTTGAGGAGATGCAAACATAATAACCTTGGATGGGGCCAGGTTAAAATGCTTCTTCAGTTAGAAAGCTGAACCTGTAATTAAGACACCTAAGTTTAAGGTAAGATATGGTCCAGGAAAGGGCATTTCTTGTTTAGCTCATAAACCATTTAGGCCAAACAACAAAGCCTCTCCTTGCTTTACTATCAGCATCTCATGGCTTCAAGGTAATCATATTGATTTCTCTTATAATGTTACTGTTAGTTTGGGGTCGTTTCTTTTTTCTTCTTAGATATACTAATTTAACTTCACAATTCCTGTGAGATAGGTTTGCATGAGTACCATCATGGAGGATGTTAACCACCAAAAAGACCTAAACGAGTCACTATCATTGGCCATGGTAGAGCTAGGGTCTTGAACTTTCTTCATACTTGATCAGCATGTGCATTTCATCCCAGTACTTCTGTGCAAATATTTTTCTGCTAATAATTTCTGGACTCTCAGGAAGTTTTTTGTAGGAAGAAACTTCATTAAGCCTCTTGTGGGAGTTAGAAAATATGCAGCTCTCCAGCCCATTTGCAAGTGGGAACAGCTTGTGCTCATTGACTCCATTAGAAGAAGGGGAAGGTGATAACAGGCAAGGCCTGTCCCTTCCAAACACCTGCTTGCTTGCAAACTCAGTAACTGACTTTCACTTGGTTTGAGAGCTTAGTTCATTAAGAGCATCTGAGTTCCCTGGAACTGAGGGCAGAAATTGTTTTTTACACTTCTGAGGGGTGAGTATGGCCATGAAGGCCAAGGACTCTGGAGTCACACCTGTGTTTGCATCTAGACTCTCTCAGTGATGGGCTCTGTGACCTTGAACATATGACATAACCTGAAAAGTCAGATTTCTCAGCTGTGAAATTGGAGTCATCACAAGATCATAGTAATCAACTTAGATAATGCATGCAAAGCATTAATCCCATCAAACTTATCCCACACGTGAAGATGCAGGCCTGGAATTCACGTGGACAAAGTCCGGGTAACTCAGGGGTGCCAGAGCCAAGGTAAGTAGAGCTTCCTCTGTTCTCTCTCCTCCTCTTGTCTTTTTCCCCTTCTTTCCATTTAGTACGTATCCAGTCTTCATTACCATTGCTGACATTTCATAAGCCTCTCTTCTCATGTGCTTCCTACTTACAGTGTATGAGGGAAAGGAGAGACCCTTCATATGTCAATGAATGAAAAGGCCTTAAAGCTCTGTCTACCTCACGCCTACCAGTTTTACAGATCTTTACTCTCATCCCAGGATTTAAATATTGGCACAGAAGTAAAAATGACATAAGGGACTTTGAAACAGTTAAATAAATGAGTGGGTTTTTGGCAAAATATTATATTTACATGTATACAAATATAAATATATATACTATGAAAACATTCTCAAACTTATATTATAGGCATGTTATATTTATTCCTTTCATAAATATTTATTGAATTTTTTGTCCTATATAGATTCCTTCTTTCTCCCATGAGAGAGGCAAAGATGGAATATCAAGAGGAGTTTGTCCTCAAGAAGCATTAAATATATACCTAAGTGAGAATACTATGAATTAGGAAATACAGTCAAAAGAGATTCATATTAAGTTCTATAAGAATTCAGAGATAGAAGATATAATTTTCAGCTGTGCAGGCATTTGAGCTAGATCTAAAGGGTTAAATGGGATTTGGACAAAAAAATAAGAGATCTTCATTTTCTTTCTTTCTTTTTTTTTTAGAACAATCACTACAAAGTGACTACTTTAAATGCAACGAAGAAGCTAAGACCTTTCTTAAGGACATTGCTATCGCTGTTAAGAAATTGGTATTGTATTATCTATAAGAACTGTTTTTTTTCTTTTTTTTTTTAAGATTTTTTTTTTTATTTTATTTATTTGAGAGAGAGAGAATGAGAGAGAGCACATGAGAAGGGGGAGGGTCAGAGGGAGAAGCAGACTCCCTGCCAAGCAGGGAGCCCGATGCGGGACTTGATCCCGGGACTCCAGGATCATGACCTGAGCCGAAGGCAGTCGCTTAACCAACTGAGCCACCCAGGCGCCCAAGAACTGTTTTATTTTTCAATCTTCCACTTATTTCTTCATCAACTTTTAATTTAGTACCAACTCTGTTCAAGATACTTGAATAGATGAATAGGGAAAATCTTTACCCTGAGCGGAGAAAGTGTTCATCTCCGTTCACTAAGCGTGTGCCCCAGGGTCCAGAGCGGGGGGGTGCTGCCGGCTTTTCCCCGAGGACCCTGCCTTAAGGACCCGTGCTGCGGACGAGGGAGGGCACGCCCGCTTAGGAGAGCAGTACTGCTGCTAGCGGAGCTCCAGGAAGGGGTGGGCCACATGGGCAAAGGCGTGCCCCCAGTAGAGAAGCCATGCGCGGGGCCTATTCACTCAGTTCTCTGGAAGTAATTTCTTACATAACTGCTGAGAGATGATTTGGCGCCTCTTTCACTGAAGTAGACCGTGCTCGTCAGTGCAAACAAACCAACTCTTTGTTCTGCTCACTGGGCCCCATCAAGGAAATATTTAAAGAATTTCCTATTGAATTGTCACACACATGTCTCTACGTGGCCCTGGATGATGTTTACAATGCTTCCCCCCAGCAGGGTGAGAAGGGTGAGGTCTCTTCATCTGATTTAAACGTATTGAAGAATCTACATATCAAATAGCTAAAAATGCAGAAATGTGACTGTAAAGTCAATGAGTTTGAGTCTACAGACTGCTGAGAAAAGTTCATCTCCTTGATATTTTTCTGTGATTCTATATAGATGTATGTGTACCACAGCATTGTACTTTGCAATCCCAGTTAAATGAATACATGTATGTAAAGCCTGGGAGTTGGTGTGTGTGTGTGTGTGTGTGGAGCCCCACCGTGGTACCCTGGAGACCTTCCTCTGCTTTGTTCTTTGAGTTATATTTTCCTCCTGGGTTTGAAGGGGTCAAAATATTTAGTGTGGCTTATTGAAGTATCTACTATATCTCCATGTAATATTTGAGCTGTGAAATCTCTTAGAGATAAATCCCTCCATCTTTTTTTTTTAATTTTTAAAATTTTTTTTAAAGATTTTATTTATTTATCTGACAGAGAGAAAGACAGTGAGAGCAGGAACACAAGCAGGGGGAATGGGAGAGGGAGAAGCAGGCTTCCCGCCGAGCAGGGAGCCCGATGTGGGACTCGATCCCAGGACTCTGGGATCGCTTAACGACTGAGCCACCCAGGCGCCCAAATCCCTCCATCTTATAAAGCAACAAATTTTCACTATTCTGGAAGCACTGCATATTTACCCTGGAAAGAAAAAAAAAACTTTTTAAATAGACAAGTAAAAGAAGGAAAGTAAAAACCACCATGATCCCAACACCCTAAAATAATCATAATTAACTCTTTGATGAATGTCTTTCCTGCTTCCAGGGACTAGACGATGCCTGTATTGAATTTTATATTTTTATAGAAAAGTGATCATGCTATATATACAATTATGTAATCTTTTTTTTAGATTTTTTTTACAATGTTAATCACCATACATTACATCATTAGTTTTTGATGTAGTGTTCCATGATTCATTGTTTACCTATAACACCCAGTGCTCCATGCAGAACGTGCCCTCTTTAATACCCATCACCGGGCTAACCAATCCCCTCACCCCCCGCCCCTCTAGAACCCTCAGTTTGTTTCAGAGTCCATAGTCTCTCATGGTTCGTCTCCCCCTCTGATTTTCCCCCCCTGCTATCATCATCTTCTTCTTCTTCTTCTTTTTTTTTTTTTTTTTACCATATAATGTATTATTTGTTTCAGAGGTACAGGTCTGTGATTCATCAGTCTTACACAATTCACAGCACTCACCATAGCACATACCCTCCCCAATGTCTATCACCCAGCCACCCCATCCCTCCCACCCCCCACCACTCCAGCAACTCTCAGTTTGTTTCCTGAGATTAAGAATTCCTCATATCAGTGAGGTCATATGATACATGTCTTTCTCTGATTGACTTATTTCACTCAGCATAATACCCTCCAGTTCCATCCACATCTTTGCAAATGGCAAGATCTCATTCCTTTTGATAGCTGCATAATATTCCATTGTATATATACACTACATCTTTATCCATTCATCTGTCGATGGACATCTTGGCTCTTTCCACAGCTTGGCTATTGTGGACATTGCTGCTATAAACATCAGGGTGCACATACCCCCTTCAGATCCCTACATTTGTATCTTTGGGGTAAATACCCAATAGGGCAATTGCTGGATCGTATGGTAGCTCTATTTTCAACTTTTTGAGGAACCTCCATACTGTTTTCCAGAGTGGCTGCATGTAATCTTTTTTTTTTTTACTCATAAAATATAATGGCGATTTCTCAGGTCATAAAAGAACTATAGCCGTTATGACCATTTATTTAAGAGATGATTTATCTATTTTTTCCACTAACAGATTTTTGGATGGTTTTCTTTTTTTAAAATAAGCCCCACCAAAAAAACAAAGCACAAAAATCCCTACCAGACTATTTGTTTGGATTTGTGGGTATGTATAAAAAAAATTGTTCTCTTTATACCTAAGCATATTTTTATAGGCATTTTCCAGCTTTTAATTAAGCAGCTTTTTTCCTCAGCATTACCCTTTTTGTTGGAGTCTCTCCTTTTAAATTGACTGAAACTGCATACAAAAAAAACATAAGAAAAGATTTCTGAGAAGAAAATCAGAGATTGAGAAATTAACAATGACTTATCTTAAAAACTGATTATAGAAGAGTGATTTTTCACACCTTCTAGTTCAAATAAGAAGAGGGATTTTTCACACTTTCTGTTCCAAATAAAAATAAGAGCAGAGGGTGTTGAATGGAAATCAAAGTTTGATCTCTGAAAATATTTATAATAGGGCATTGCTTAGGAAATCAATTTTATTAGTTTAATGCCTTAACTTTTTATATATGTAATTCAAATTTTCAGGAAGAAATGAGAAAAGCCACAATTGATCTCCTAGAAATTGAAAGCATGGAACTCAGCAGACTATATTTTCTACTGGAAACTCTTCCCAGTAACATTGGCAGAGAATTGGAAGGTACTTTTAAGGTTATCAACCATAGAAACTTAGTTTATCTTATAAGAAAATAGAGCCTACTACTTTAACAAGACAAGTTTAATAGTTGGGTCATGTCAAAATATAGCTAGAAAGAGTACACAGCACAAACACAGATCCGTAATAATGTTCTCTTACATTTTAAATGGAAATGATATATATAAAACTTGAATTTATATAGTTTAGTTTCTAAATAGACTAATGATATGTAGATCAACCCATTCCAAATTGGTATTTATCCAATTAAATTAGGCAGTTTGACTCCCCTAAACCACCATTCTACTTTTTCTCCCTGTAGGTTTGGGGATTATAGGTACCTCATATAAGTGGAATCTTACAATACTTGTCCTTTTGTGACTGGCTAATGTCACTTGGCAGGTCTTCAAGATTCATCCATGTTGTAGCTTGTGTCAGAATTTTCCTTCATTTTAGGGCCGAACAATATTCCATTGTATGTGTATACTGTGTTTTGTGTATCTGTTCATTCACTGGATGGACCCTTGGGTTGTTTCCATCCTTTACCTATCGTGAACAAAGCTGTTATAAACATGGTGGTGCAAATATCAGTCTGAGTCCCTGCTTCCCATTCTTTTGGGCTTATATGCCGAAGGGAATTGCTGGATTGTATGGTAATATGGTACTTTTACTTTAAGTTTTGAGAAACTGCCATACTGTTTTCCATAGTGGCGGAAGTATTTTACATTCCCACCCACGATGCACAAGGATCCCAATTTCTTCACATTCTTGTCAACATTTGTTCTTTTCTATTCTTTCTGGCTTTTTAGATATAGCCATTCCAATGGGTGTGAATTGGTATCATGGTTTTGATTTGCATTTCCCTAATGACTAGTGATGTTGGGCTTTTTTTATGTGCTTATTGGTAATCGGCTTATCTTCTTTGGAGAAATATCTATTCAGGTCCTTTGTTCATCTTTTAACTAGGTTGTTTGGGTTGTTTTTCAGTAGTGGGAATTCTTCCTCATGGAGTCTGGATGTTAACCCTTTATCAGATACATGATTTGCAAATATTTTGACCCATTCCATGGTTTGCCTTTTCACTCTGTTGATATTGACTTTTGATGCACAAAAGTTTTAAATTTTTAAAAAGATTTTATTCATTTGAGAGAGAGAGAGTGAGTGAGAGAGCAAGCACAGAAGGAGAAACAGACTCCCCTCTGGGCAGAGAACCCAAAGTGGGGCTCGATCCCAGGACCCCAAGATCATGACCTGAGCCGAAGGCAGATGCTTAACCAACTGAGCCCACCCCATCCGCCCCCAAAAGTTTTAAATTTTGATGTAGTACAGTTTATCTATATTTTCTTTTGCTGCCTATGCTTTTGGTGTCCTATCCAAGAAATCATTGCTAAATCCAGTGTCTTGAAGATTTCAATCTCTTATGTTTTCTTCTAAGAGTTTTAAAATTTTAGGTCTGACATTTAGGTTTTTGACTCCTTTTTGGTTAAATTTGGTATTTGGTGTAAGGGAAGCGTTCAGTTTCATTTCACCAGCTGCCAGGAGTGTTGGCCAAGGCTCACAGCTCAGGTCCTCTACAGGAATTGCCCTAGACAAGAGAAACGCTTGACACTGTCCCCTGCCCCATCCTGGTCCATTGTCTCCTCAGGTGCAGCGCATGTCCAGGGAGCAGTCACTGTGAGAATACAAAGGCCCGCCTCCCCTGCTCAAGAACGACTCCCAAGTGTCCTCACAGCTCCAAAGCTCATTGCCATTTAACCCCCCCTCCCCCACCCAGTGGTCTAGATTAAAAGCAAACGAACAAAAGCAACAGCAACAGAACACTTTTTAAGTGGATGTTCCAGTTATCCGTTTATTCCCTTGCAGCTCCAGATCTACCTTCCTTGCCTATTGCATGTTGAGAGAGCTGGGCCCTGTCGTTTCCCCCTTTACCAGCCGGCACAATGTTAAGTTTTGTCAAGAGAGGGCACTGGAAGGATACTGGAGGGAAAAGGGGAGAGGATACTCTTTCTGGCCTCAGGGTGCTCAGCTTGGCCAGCTCTTGCAGTGCACACAGCTGTTCCACGTCAGCCCCCGCGCAGAGCCCCCCACAGAGCCCCCCGCAGAGCCCAGCAGTTCCCTCCAGTATCCCTGGGGTGGCTGCATGGCGGATTGCTACCAGGGAGGCAGCAGCTTGTGAACAGATTCCCCAGCAACTCCCTGTGGACGGGCCGTCAATTCCCCCAGAAGCCAGATTTCCATGAGTTCTACCAGGCCAGCAGCTCGTGAATTTCTTTGCCATCCAGTGAGCCACAGCTCTTTCCAATGAGGCCTGGCTCTCAGGTGTGGAGGTGCTGCTTCCTCAAACAAACTCTGTCTAAGCCCTAGGGGTACTAGATGCCCCTTACACTACTGCTCCCCGAGCCTTTAGAGTTCTCTCTTTTCCTGTCCAATCCCTCAGTACTCTAGTCCTCTGTTAGGCTTACGAATTCCCTATATTACGGTTTCCCTATTCAATTTGTAAGATTTCTATCTCCCCAATTAGACACTGAGTGACACAGTTAGTTATAAAACAATATGCATGGTGTTAGTGTGTCAGGGAAAATGCAATAAACTCTATATACAGAAAAAAACAAGACTTAGAAGAATCTGGGCTGAAGGCAGAATTAAGACTATTTTGGCTTACTTTTATAATCAGGAAAAATATTTAGAAGGAAAAGAAAAGAGCATACTAGCTAAAGAGGTTCTTGATACCCACATAAATGTAATTAGTCTTACATTATAAAACTTTGTTACTCAAAGTATGGTTCATGGATCAGCAGCATCAGCAGCATCTGAAGGCTTGTTATAAAATGCAGAATCTCTAGGCCCACCCCAGAACTACTATATCAGAATCTGTATTTTGGGGTGCCTGGGTGGCTCAGTCAGTTAAGCATCCAACTCTTGGTTTCGGCTCAGGTCATGACCTCAGGGTCCTGGGTTCAAGCCCCACATCAGGCTCCATGTGGAGTTTGTCCCTCCCCCTCTGCTCCTGCCTTCGTCATGCGCACTCTCATACCCCCTCTCTAAAAATAGATAAATAAAATCTTGAAAAGGATCTGTATATATATATATGTGTATATATATATGCATATTTGAGACTTAAAAGTTTGGGAAGTGCTGCTACAATGAGCAAACTTAACCAGTAGCCTTGGAAAAATAACCTAGCTCTCTCAAATGGAGCTACCAGCCAGTTTCTAGAGAATTTATTGTGTAGAAATGGGTAGTCCAGTACCTTCTAAACATCGGTATTAAAAAAATCATTTTTGCATCTATCATGCACTGAGGTAAGCCTCTGAAGTCTTATGTGATCACATGGATGTGTTATTTGTTGATGAATAATTAGTTCTTTAACACACTGAGTTTGCCAGAAAGCGGAGCCAGAGGCTTTGCACTATTATTTGGGAGCACAACCCAAGGAGGAGGAGGAGGGCAGGATAAGGAGGCAAAAGCAGGGAGAAGGGAGAGTGGATCTGCGGTGCAACCTGATGCTGACTGCCGCTAAATGCAACACATTAAGCATGGGAACATGCCCCCAGGACACACCGTTCCACCTTCTCCTGGACCGTCCAGGCACCAGCTCCTGCCCGTCATGGGTCCGATATTTGCCTGCTTCCCACACTTTGGGTTACATGTGCACGGGTGTGCATGTTTAAAGAAGTCCCATGGGAGAGGTGACAAGGAGGTCCTGGACAGGAGGTGAGAAGTGTGTAGAATAAGCAGGAATGAGGTGCTGCCAGACCACACCAGTGTGAAGTCGTTGAGAGCCCATGGAAAGCCGGTCACCATAGCAGCAGCTGAAGTGAGGGGAATAGTTGATCGGTAAGACTGAAAGGACCCAAAGGGGTAAGAGGTGTCTGCTACAGGGACATAATTAAAAGAGTATTTCAAAGAAAGACCTAATTTTTTCATGATTTGGAAAGTCAGTATGAAGTGTGCCACTTCTCAAATAATCTAGAAACATTTCCACTTACTTTTAAGAATGTGTCAGAGATGCACGCAGATTAAATCTTTTTGAGATAAATCAAATACAAACGGACATTACAAGGATGAATGATGCAATACAGTCTCTGAAGATGAGAATACTTGATCTGAAAAGAACTAATGAAGCTCTAGGGTATGTATTTTTTTTTTTTAATTCAGTACTTGTGGGAGTTGGGGTCTGTGGCTAGAGTGTGAAAATTGTCCTAAGGGGTCTGTCCTCTTGTCTGTGCTGGTGTGGGGCAAGTAGGAGGTGGGTATCATCTGGAGCAGATGACCTTGGCTGATGAGGGGTATGTGATGGCTGCACAGAGCTGGGGAGGAGAGCAAAAAATCTTCAACCACTGCAGTCAGGGGACCTGTCAAGTTTCAGAGACCATCCAGCTTCCCAGCAGCACCTACTGTGTATGACTCACGTGCCACCTCCAAAGGTAGAGGTGCACAGTGGTTTCAGATTCCCCTTTAGCAAAATCAAGTTTACAAACCTCAACCACTAAAGCAAGAAATTTGGCTGGATATTGTATTAGAAATACAGTATCAAACCAGATACACTGTAGCTAGTTTAGTTTCTTAAAGGTATTCAGCCATAAACTACTGGAGGTCTGAGGGATGGGATTGGTTCCCAGCAGAGAATTAATTACAGATTTCATCTGTAATTAAATGAGATGATATATATAACTGGCTGTAGCTCAGATTCTGACACCTGTTAGTTTCTTTCCTTTATCCCTGAGCTGTATTGCCAGGACTTCACCCCATGGGCCTCCTTTTCTCCACCTGTAAAGTGGGGATTACAAGTTTGAATTTATGCATCTCGTGGAGGAAAAGATACATTCTGAAAGGAAAACCAACAAAACCTTAGGAACAACTCAGCATTGTGAGCAAATACGTAAGACTGATGCATAAATATCAGAATGTCAGTTTGTCAGAGGAAGAAATGTTGGAAGAGTCCCTATGAAAGAAAAAAAAATCTTCTTGGGAAGCTAAAGTGATCAGAAGGTCGCTTGGTGCACATAATATCAAAGCATCAGGAATTAGGTGAAGGGGCGCCTGGGTGGCTCAGTCGTTAAGCGTCTGCCTTCAGTTCAGGTCATGATCCCAGGGTCCTGGGATCGAGCCCCACATCGGGCTCCCTGCTCGGCGGGAGGCCTGCTTCTCCCTCTCCCACTCTCCCTGCTTGTGTTGTCTCTCTCTGTCAAATAAATACATAAAATCTTTAAAAAAAAAAAAAAAAAGGAATTATGTGGAGACCTCGAGGCCCAGGGACGACTTTCCCCAATTAGGCCCTCAGAACACCTGTTCTGGGGGATGCTCCATGAAAAAGAAAGTTCATGATCACATAAGCTTGAGAATTCTAACCCCTCTTAGGGATTCACAATGTGGATTTGCTAGCCAGAGACTGCTGTGTGAACTATATTATCGATTCCTAAACTAATAACAAGGAAGATAATATCCAGGCTGGAGTACTCAGGTCAATTGGCCAGCACCATCACACCTCTACAGACCAGTGATTTTCAAACTTGAGGATGCATCAGAATCACTTGGAGTGCTTATTAAAACACAAATTACTAGAAAGCTCCGCAGCACCCCATATTTCTGATTTAGTAGGTGTGGGGGATGGGAGTGAGAATTTGCATTTCTAACGAGTTGCCAGGTGATGCTAATGGGGCTGGTCCTGACCACATGTTCAGAATCCCTGCTCTAGAGAAATCTTTATGGAAAGGCAAATGACAAACATAAGGTGGGTTGCTTGATGAGCTAGCATCACCAAGCTACAATCTCACTGCATCTATTTTTCAAAGAAAGATGCACATCAAGATGCCAACACTCTCTGACAGGTGGTCCTCTCCTGGACAGTCCCCCAAAATGGCAAGCTCTTTGGGTGGGTTTTTCTTAGGTCCTGTGTTTGGTTGCTGAGTTCTCTCTTCTCAACCCACCTCAATACACCTAATTAGTTTTTGGTGTGTTTTTTTTTGTTTTTTTTTTTTTATTTGACTTGTTTAGCTTAGTTCTACTAAGGCTACTCCATCCTTAGGTTGACTCATTCTTAGAAGGCTTCCTCTACTAGACGCACAAAGCACCCATTATCGGACCCTCTCTAGCCTGGGCTTTTAATTGCATTTCTGTGGTAGAGTTGACTTCTGGAAAATAAACTTACCAACAACCTGTTACCATTTTCCTGAGCCTTTGCACACAATCCCCTTGAACAACTGAAGTCTTTAGCCCTGGGGATTGGAGAAAGGAAAAAGGTCATAACAGTGTAGAAGCTTTTAAAAAAGAAAAATCTAGAAATGGCGCCAATTGTCCCTCTTTCCAGTCTTGGCATTGTTGGCCCTGGGGTAGATATTTCTCACTGTCTTAAGGTCTTCTTCAGATGGATGTGGCTAGCCATGGATAGGTGAAGTTAATGTCTCCTCCTGAACTCAGATTTGGCGGCAGGTAGGAGGGAATAAGAGAGTTCAAGTTAGGTTTCAAGCATCTTCTGAACAGTGAAGACAGACTCTGCTCTCTCCTCCCTGACTCTTGTCCATCAGAGGAAGGCTTGCTTTCTCCTGGGCCCTCCCTGCAGGGCACTGGCATCAGAAGGTGGCTGGAGGGATGGTGAGATATTTACCTTCCTTTGGCTTGGTTGCATGTCTCAGGATAAGATAGTTATGGCAATGCTACCTATCAAACCATTTGTCTGGTCAGATTCCATTCATCTCAAAACTGTTTTTGAATCCTTGCATACCTTAAACCAAAACATCCCATAGTTACTACGAGGAACGGGATGGGTGGGGTGAGGCAGGACCCCATGACATTTGTGCAGCAGTAAACAGGTGCAAGATTGACATTTGTCTTGTGTTTCCTTCTGTCCTCATCTCAGCCAAGTTTAAGTGATCACAAATACAACTTAAGTATTCCTTACAGTTTCCCTCTGTATGGTGTTTATCTCGGCAAACAGACTTTAAGTTCCTTTCCTAAAAACCATACTTTTCATTCCATGAACCATTCTTTTCTCCTAGTGAAGAGCAAGAGAAGCTGGCGAGGGAGCATGAAAAGTTAGTGATGGCACTCAACCACACGATGGGAGAAAAGGCCACCACCACTGTTTACATCAATGAGACTTATACCAAAATCAACTCGGAGAGAAAAGAAATAGAATTGCAAAAACGACATCTCGAAGAAATAGAGGAACAGTTGGAGAAAGAAAAAGAGGAATATTTGAAAAGAAAACAAAATCTGGATGAAGAGGTAAGTGGCATGATTTACTTTTTTAAAAATTACAGAATCGTGTGGAATCTCAGGCAGGAAATTCGCAAGGCTAGCAAGCGTCCCGTGCGGTATCTCCTGTGAACAGTGATGCAGAGATGCAAGCACACCGGGGACCCTTGGGGTAGACACTGATTGTGTCATAGCATCTGAGGTCATGGGAAAGAATATGAGTGACGGGGTTTGTCACACTAGGGTAGCCCCTTGCTCATAGGCAGCCCTACAGGGACAAGGATCTTGTTTTCGTGGCATCTCGTTGCCTCTGACCATTCTGACCATGGACAAGACCAGGGAGATCCACGCTGCCAGAGCCTTCAGCTCCTGCTGAACACATCCGAGCAGAGCAGCCTGCAGAAGGGCTAGGTGGAGCCACAGGCTGCAACAGAAAAGAGTATCTTGAGACTAGCGATTTTGGGAGAGTAGATGGGAATGACTACCGCATCTTGGTGTCTGCTGGGCTATATTAATTAAAATTCACCATCAGAGTGGCTCGTGACGGTTCCTCTTTGCTGTGCTTCTGTTACCCCAGGAGAGGCAGGGCTCTCTCCAGGGGAGGTGTTCCCAGCAGTCTTCCTTCTCCCCCATGTGTGGCAGCCTGGCTCATGATGAGAATTGCTGTCGGGTCCCTGCCGCTGCCCTCCCTGTGGTGGGCACGGGCATGACTGTCATGCAGAAAATTGGCTGGTGCTCGCAACCTGTGTAGCCCCCACCAACGTTCACTGAACGCACATGATAGGCTGGGGTAACAGCCTGTTAATTTCCTTTACTTCCTATGAGAAAGGAAAAACTATTACAGCTGTCAGAGTCTTCAAATTGTAAGCTCTCCCCTAACACCAAACAAAATATTTTTTGCTAATATTATGTCTATGACCACAAGACCTTGGGAGAAGTCTTTGGCTGAAGAATGAACACAGAATTCTGATTTTCAACGAAATGGATTAATCCCAAAGTTCCATTCCTATGCAATGGTGCTCTGGTGCTGAGATCATTGACCATGATCATGTTCATTCATAAGACACTTCGGGTGCACTGGCTTTGACAGAAAGCCACCCAAGTGTATGTTTTCATAACTCTTTAGTACAGAATTGAATATGCTTTCTCAGGCCTTATTACTCCATTAGTTAGCTTGTTCTTGATCATTCATTTTGCCAGACAAATGCATTGATGTGTTTGATTTTGATAAGAGGATGACTCACTCCATTGGGTCTGACAAGTAATCAAAATATGTTTGATCTTGGTAGGATGGTAAGAAGTTGTCCAAGATTGTGAGCTGCCCAGTCTTCAGTGATTTTTTACCCTGTTTTTAGTCTGCTTTCTTTCCCATCCAAAAAATGTGAATTTAGATTTCCAGATCATTCGTCATTTTTTTCTTTGACTTTCCTGATCTTATTATTATTAGCACACTATAAATCTGGTGGCCGTTGCTATGGTGTTTTACTAGTAAATTGCTACAATGGCAGTTGCTTTTAGAATTTGCTACTAATGATCATTGTTTTATTGCTCTTATAAATTTACTCTTTCAACATTTATAATTACAATTTATTCCTTGTAGTTCACTATCTTTCTTGTGGTGTTGCAAAACAAGCAAACCCTGTTGGCGGGGGGTGTGTTTTTGTTGTTGTTGTTGATAGACCGACCATGGTATACTTAGTATGAATTAGATTAACAAAATAAAAAGATTTCCTAAACTTTGTTCTCATAAGTTTTTGGATTGGTTTATCATGTTTATCATTACAGATTGAGAGATATAAAAACTTCTGTGAATTTAAGAGAACAGAGACTTATAAAAAGAAGAAAGAATTGGATACATTAAAACTTAAAATGTCAAAAATGAAAGAAACAGTTATGACCAGCACAGTGGTAAGAAAGAATAAACGATGTGTTTGATGTTTAGGAGATCCTTTAGACGTTGTGCTCATGTTGCTGGCAGTTCTAGGATTTCAGACCCTTGTTGACTCTGAAACTAGTTATGACCCAGAAGTGGAGGCATGTGGGTGCTTTCAAGGAAGGAATAGCTGGGGGGGAGCTTTTGGCCACCTGTCTCACCTGGTAAGAATGGGAGCCCCTCTGTGCTCCCCGCAGGTGTTTCTCTGAGTCCACACTGATGTGCATGGTTAGATGGCATTACACAGTCTGCCTGTGATCACTCCATGCCGGGGAGCAGAAGAACTTGTCTGATCACCTCTCTCCCCCCTCCATTCTTCCCCACAGCTGAAATGCAGACCCAAGGCTCTATAAATGTTTGCCTCCCCTTTTCTTTTTTCTTTTTTTTTTTTTAAGTAGGCTCCATGCTGGGCATGGAGCCCAACACAGGGCTTGAACTCACAACCCTGAGATCAAGACCTGAGCTGAGATCAAGAGTCAGACACTTAACTGACTGAGCCACCCAGGCACCCGTGACTTCCCTTTTCTTTATTCCAAAACTGCATTGTAAAAATATGTTTTATTATTAATTTTCTCCAATCATACTTCATTCTTTTAAATCATGCTGACATTTTATCACAGTACCCAACTATTGCATTTCTGAAATACTGATTAAATAAGAAAAATTCTCTTCAATAGAAGCATATTTCTCAAGGTAATTTGTTTTTACTTTTTTGGTAATACTCATTCTAATATCCTAGAGTATTTTGAAGATGATTATGAAGATATAGATTTGTTTGGATTTTTTTTTAAAGGTAGTCAAAATGAATTCATATCTTGAAAGTTGTTTTTATAGTTTTCGCATTCTCGCTGCTATATTTGGTTAGGCTCTCTCCAAAATGTTGGTTTTTTTCCTGATGATTTCAGGATTATTTCTGCCCAGGTTTGTTTTATGAAGAAACCATTTTAATGATTGCTTTTTATTTTTGCTAAAGGATAACCCCAATGTAAAAGTTGAGTGGATAATACATGAATATTTAGTGAATCAAACACTGTCATGAATCATTTGGTGACAATTGAATACCATCATTTTATTGAATTTTCAATAGGTTCTTAGTGATCACAATTTAGAGATATCACGACTACAAGAATCAATAAGACATTGGGAACAAGAGCTCGAAGAAATGAAGAAATCCTGTAAGATACTGGAGGATAAATTGTAAGTTTGATATTTATTTTTACTGAAGCATTTCTAGATGTTCTGTCTCTTTTAAAAAAAAATCTTTAATATTAGATGAAAACTATATTCTCTTAATTTGCTAAAATTTGTGATAGCTTTATAAAACCACCTCTTCATTTGGAAATTAACCAATTTTTCAGATAAACAAGAGAAAAAAATTGAGGATGATATAGTCATTTAAGGGAAAGGGAGGGACTCTCTGGAATGAATTATTCTCACTTCAGGTCCTGATTCCCTACAGACAAATATGCCCCCAGGGGAAGGCATTAGTGGGACCTCCTATAAGGCTCACCTACCCTTGCTATGACAGTTGTTCTTAGTCAACCTACAGAACTTAGAAAATACAAGGAAGTTTCAGGGCAAAAATTTTACCCATGGGACTGGAACCATAAACTTGAGGAAATCTGCCCACCCTAAGGCAAACAGTCTCTGCTTCCTTTTCAGGTCCATGTTTCATTCTGTCTTTACCTACATACAGTGTTCTGTAGGTAAGCCCATGGCTGAGCATGGCCATTCCAAACCCTCTGAGTTTACCTGTTGCAGGTCCATCTATCTTTGGAGATTGACCCACAGACTTCTCCCAGGAGAATTCCCAGATTTCTCATCAGAAGGTGTTTGGCCCAGCTCTGACAAGGAAGGCGGGGTCTTATAGTACAAAATATGGCTTCCAGGCCTATCCCCAGGTTTTGCTGACAGTTTAAAAGACAAATTTTGGACTTGAGTAGATTCCCCAAAAGGCAAGTAACTTCACATGTGGAATCTTATTATAACATGGCTTATTCCTGCATAGGATCAAATGTATTGTAATTAAAATTATATCTTCTAAAACAGCAATTGCACAATACAGTGCTGTTCTACCTACATCTGGCCATAAAATAAGCAATAATCTTTATACTCAGTACCAGATTTATAAGTATAAAAGCTCAAGTAATACTACAATCAAAACTCAGAATAAAAAAAATATCTTTCTTTGAAAGTGATTCACTAGTTTTAGTTCATACATATTTTAAAGAAAAACTAGCAAATAATCATGGAGGAAGATACAGATTAGCTCTTAACTTATTTCTAGGAGTTATGATTAAAAACCTTGCTTGAGGGCGCCTAGGTGGCTCAGTCGTTAAGCGTCTGCCTTCGGCTCAGGTCATGATCCCGGGGTCCTGGGATCGAGTCCCACATCGGGCTCCCTGCTCGGCAGGAAGCCTGCTTCTCCCTCTCCCACTCCCCCTGCTTGTGTTCCTGCTCTCGCTGTGTCTCTCTCTGTCAAATAAATAAATAAAAAATCTTAAAAAAAAAAACAAAAAACAAAAAAAAAAAACCTTGCTTGAAATTTTATTTATAAGCAGTCTTCTTGTTAGCTAATTTGCTTTAAATATATTCAAGAAAGGGGCGCCTGGGTGGCTCAGTCGTTAAGCGTCTGCCTTCGGCTCAGGTCATGATCCCAGGGTCCTGAGATCGAGTCCCACATCGGGCTCCCTGCTCCGCGGGAAGCCTGCTTCTCCCTCTCCCACTCCCCCTGCTTGTGTTCCTGCTCTTGCTATGTCTCTCTGTCAAAAAAATAAAATCTTGAAAAAATATACATATATATATATTCAAGAAAGAAATCGGGGTTCATTGATCTATTTTTTTTAAGATTTCATTTATTTGAGAGAGAGGGAGGGAGGGAGGGGGCACAGGCAGCGGGAGCGGCAGAAGGAGAGGGAGAAGCAGACTCCCCGCTCAGCAGGGAGCCCGACATGGGGCTTGATCCCAGGACTCATGACCTGATCATACCCGAGCCAAAGGCAGACACTCAACTGACTGAGCCACCCAGCCACCCCTCACTGATCTATTTTTAATGGCACATCATTTTTTTTTCAATCCCAGCTTTTCAAGAGTTTTCATTCATATGGAATCTCCCTGAGGAGAAGTACGCTTGATTAATTTGGTGATTGAAGTTTTAGGTTACCCCCCTTGTTATTAATAAAACTGTACTTTTTCCTCTTTACTACCAAGCAAATTAAAAGAAAATTCTTACATTCATTTTATATTTCTCCTTTAGTTCATTTTCTCTATCTATGGAGGTGGGAAAAGGCACCTAAATTTTGGTTGGTAGATTTGAAGAGTCAAACAGTGTTGTTTTATAATAGTCTATAAGATTCTTTTAAGAGTAAATTATACAAGAAACTAAAATAATCTGCATAAATTCATCTTCCTATTAATCTATAAGCTTTAATTTTTCCCCCCATGAAATCTTTAATTTGCAAGCTTGTTACATATTTTGAGGTCCAAATATTAAGGAAAAACAAAAAGTCACTCAGCCATCTGAATGTGGGCAGTTAGGAGTACCTCAAATGCTCCATAAGTCCATAGGAGGCATTGATAGTCTAAACCTCGTTCATTATTATTATTGATGTCCAACATGATGTATTTGCATAATAAAGGCAAATTCAGTGCCTACCTTTCTAAATGGGTATGGTCTTTCTTTGCCAGTCAGCTGGTTTTCAGCACATACGAAGTGGGGGACTGGAAGCTAAGTATTGTATATAAATGACATGCAGTCTGTGACCCAGAGTATATACTTGCCATTGCAGTGCAGGAGACTATGAAAAATATAGATGCTTTTTTTTATAAGGGTTGAAATGATTTCAGAACTGTCATGATTGCCAATGATTCCATCCTGCCAAACTTTAATGATCTAGTCTATTCCTTCAATTTCTTGAATTCCTAACGGAATTTGACTCACTTCCACCTTCTCTTTTTAAGATTTTATTTATTTACTTGAGAGTGAAAGAGAGAGTACAGAGGGAGAGGGAGAAGCAGACTCTCCACTGAGCAGGGAGCCCGATGTGGGGCTCCATCCCAGGACCCTGAGATCATGACCTGAGCCAAAGGCAGACGCTTAACCGACTGAGCCACCCAGGTGCCCCACACTTCCACCTTCTTGAAATACTTTCTTCTCATGGCCTCCTAAACATCATATTCCTTTATGTCACTCACTACACTGCTCTTTCTCAGGACCCTTTATTGTTCTTATTCTTCTTTCTGAGTCTGAATTTTGGAGTTCTTGGCCCTTCTCTATTCACATCCTCCATACATGACTTCATCCATTCTTATGGCTTTCTATATCTTCTGTACCCCAGTGACTCCCAAATTTATATATCCAGCACTGAGTAGCAAATACATAGACTCTACAGTTTATTTGACCTCTCCATTTGGAGGATATCTGTTAGATATCTCAAATACGATGTGTCCTGAACAGAACTCTTAATTTCCCACCTCATTGAAACAGCTCTTCCCTCAGTCTTCCATCTCACTATTTACCTAGTTACTCCAGCTGAAAACCTAGGAGTCATCTACCATTCCTGTTTTCCTCACTTCCTAACCCTAACCCAACTAACCAACTAACTAGCCCTAACTCAACTCAAATGCCAGCCAAATCCCAAGGTATGTCTTGTTGCCTTTATCTTCAGAATATATCCTGAATCCAACTATTTCTTACTACCTCCTCCACTACAATGTTAGTCTGAGCCACCATTCTCTCTTCTGGACCACTGCCCTAGTCTTCTGCATAGTCTGTCTTCCTGTACTCTTGTCTTTCTCCACTAAGTAGCAAGAGTCATCTTTATAAGATGTAACTCAGTTCATCTCTCTCCTCTGCTTAAAAAAAAATCCTCCCCTGGTTCTCTCTGAACTTCCACTTTGTCCTTAGCCCCTACATGATCTAGTCTCCGTCTACCTCTCCAGCCTTCTCATAATCCTCTCCTCATCAAATACACAAAACTTGTTCCAGCCCCAGAATTTTTATCACTGGCTGTACCTTGTACATGAAAGACGACTTAAGATCTTCACCTATCTGGCCTCTTCTCATCATTCAGGTTCTTCACAAGTCATCTCAAGAGGCCTTCCCTTACCACCTGTCTGAGGTAGCATCATCACTCTCACGATTTCTCTGTCCTTCACCCTACTTTGTGTTCTTTAAAGCACTTAGCACTACCTGAAATTTATTATTATCATTATTATTTTGATAACTTCTATTCTGACTACTTCTTAGAGTGTAACTTCCATGAGGGTAGGGACTTTGCCTGCACTATATCTCTAGTACCTATAACACCTGCAGAGTACAAATGTTGGATAATTGTTTCTTAATATATACAGGAAGTATTAATTCATCCAAAGAGTAAAATTTTTTATTTATTTTAATGAACATATCAATATGTTACATAGGAAGATGGGGACTGGAAGTTTCTGGTGTCATAAATAAATGTGGCTTTGCTGGAAAACATGCCCTAATATGAATCTGTTTGGCTTCCTTTGATCATAGACAATTTTTTGTAAATACAAAAGAAAAATTGGAAGGTTCATCTGGTATTGAAAAAGATGAATTCTTGAAGAAGATAAAGCAGGTAGGAAGATGGAAATTATGACTTTTAGATTATAATTCATTTTTAGTTAATATTTTAAATATATTTGAGAAATGTGAAATTTTCCCAAAGTAGATTTTTCATGAATTAATAATAATCATGATCATTCACAATAATTGATTTAAAGATTTTGATCACCTCCCAAAGTATTTTAAATATATGAAAGAATGAATGTTGTCTATGTAAAGATGAATTATTTGTTTGGTAACTTGTCATGTGTTTGTGATTATTTTACATTAGAAATACCCAGACTAATGGATATTTTTCATGTGAATTTTTTTTTTTTTAAATGGAACCTCCTTGCTGTTTTGTGGTACCTGTAAAGTCTAGCAATCCATACCACACTTAATAATGTCATGAAATATTTGAGTCAGATTTAGGCCCTGAGAGAAATCTCTAGACACTTTAAATCTTAGGTTAAAAGAAATATCATAAGTACATAATCATGGGTGTAAACTAAAATTTATCCACAAGGTATTCAGTAAAGCATTCATTATGATAGTTGAAAAATTGTAGGGAAGATACAATTGAAGTCCAACAAAAGGGTCTTGGCTAAATAAGCAACAGCTCATAATATATTATTGCATGACAAATAGAATATAAAACATTATAGGCAGATCTCTTCCAGAAGAATGATTTGAGCCAATTAAATTCTTTCCATTTTTGGTTATGAGTTAATAGCATTAAGGATGGCTTCTCTGCAGTTTAGACCTACTCTAATTCTTTTAGTTGTGAAGATATTGAAAGACAGAAACTAGACAAGGTTGGTTGGTTGGCTAGTTGGTTTTTAAAGTTGATTTTCATTCTCTGGGCAAAGGATTTCTTTTTCTTTCTATTTATTTCCTATTGGAGGAGCTGCTAGGCAGGGTTCAGATGACAGCTCCATAGTTTGTAGCCCCCCAACTGTCTGGAAAACTCAGGACCCCTACCCTGTCATGGCTTACTTGCTTGTAGGGACAAATGCAGAGGGGTTTCCCCATAATACATAGCCCTCAGCCAAATTCCCTGAGTACAAGTCAGTGACTGCTTCAAAGGGATTGGGGCTCTGACTTATTTATTATTTTCACTGGACTCTTGGTGGCAGCCAATCTTAATTCTCATGAGGTGTAAGAGGCAAGTTCAATGATGACATGAAATTCTATTTTAACTTTATTTTAATTTTTTATTGTAAAATATTATACAGATACAGAACAGCACATACACTGTAAATGTACAGTCTTTATGCACATATCTATCTTTTGATGGATGTAATTTATTAATTATAATGAAGTCCAGTTTGTCAATCTTTTCCTTCTTGTTTTTTATGTCCTATGTCATGAAGATATTCTCTTTTCATGATCTTCTAGAAGCTTTATTGTTTGACATTTCACATTTAGGACTGTAAGCGATCTGGGATCTGTGTGTGTGTGTGTGTGTGTACACTGTGAGAGGGTGGTCAAGACTCATATTTTTCTGTAAGGTTGTCCAGTTAATTAGCACCATTTAATGAAAAGACAGTCTTTGCCTCTTCCTATATTGTAATGGCATGTTTGTCATAAATCAAATGTAGATCATAAATACATCAGAAATATGTGTGTAGATCTGTGGACTCTCTTACGTTCCTTTGGACTTGTCTCTCCTCATATTAAAACCAGATTTTCTTAATTAGCAGCTTTAACATAAGCCTTTATAATTAGTAGTATAAATCCAACTTTGTTTTTCAAGATGGCTTCTACTATTCTTGGCCTTTGAATTTCTATCAGTGTGTCAAATTCTGCCAAAGAACCTGTTTGCATTTTGATTGGGGTTGCATTATATCTATAGATCAGTTTGGGGAGAATGTTACATTCTTACAATATGGAAGCTTCCAATCCATGAACATGGTGTACCTCATTTACCTTAGGTCTTCTTTGTTCCCTTTGACTTAGTTGTTCGGTTTCACTATGATATGTCCATGTTTTCTTTTTTATTTCTCCTGTGTGGGATCACTGGGCTTCTTAAATTCATGAATTGCTATATTTTATAAGTTCTGCAAAATTCTTAGTCATTATCTGTTCACATATTTCATTCTCTTTCCTCTTCTTCTGAGACTCTGATTATATGTATGTACATTGTGTGTGTGTGTTTGTACAATTATTTGTACTAATATATATTTCCTCTATGTAGTTTACCCTCTCTCCTGTGTTTTCTACCTTTTGTCTCCCCCTGCTGTATTCTGGGCAGAGTGGCCTTATTTCCACTCTTAATTTTGGCTATTGCATTTTTTAACTGGTAATTTTCAAATCTACTTTGTCATTCTTCACTGTTTCTAATTCCTTGCTGTAATTTTCAAGTATTTCTAATATTTCTTCGATTATAGTAAGCAGAGTATTTATATATTCAGTGTCTAATTCCATTCACTATCAGATGTTTTTATAGAATTTGTTCCTGCAGTCTGTTGTTTCTGCCAGTTTTTGTTCATGCTGTCTTGTTTCCTTCTGTTCCTAGTAGAAAACTATACATAGACATTGTATTCGAAAAACAAATGTAGAAACAGTTTGAAGCTTAGGATGATTGTATCTTCTTCAGAAACAGACTTTCATTCATTTCCATCAGATGGCTGGGGTATTACCCATCCCAAACCACTTTAATGCACCTTGAGGTTCCCTGGTGATCAAAATCAGGCTGGACCATGGCTTATTAACTTCCAACTTACCCTTCTCCAGAGTGTGAAGCTTTTTGGGATCCCAGACTAAAGTGGTAGAAGGTTTCTCAGACTCAACACCTGGATGAGCTCTAAGTGTTGATTTTTGCCCCTCTTGTCAAGTAAGAGAAATAAATTCCCATTTCCAAGTGGTTTCTTCCATATCAGTAAATGTCCTCAGAGTAATTTACTACTCTGGATTCTCAGTTTCTTATAGAATTCCTCATTATCTTGTTAGTTCTTCAGCACTTCTAAGATTTTTTTTTCATCCAGCTATTTTAGCAATCCTCAGCCAGGAAGTTATTTTGAACTACTCAGCCCATCACTCGTACTAAACCTGACTTTCTTACCTCACTTGAAGCAATTCAATAGAGACATCTTAAGTACAAAATTCTTAAGTACAAAGTTCACTAATGAGTACTATTTTTGTCCTTGAATAGAAATATTTAACAAGAGGCAGCCATAGTATCTCATCAAAGAGGTTTTGAGCCAGAGCTTCTGTTGATGTCATACAGATCCTGCTGAATGATCTCAGTTTATTAATCCCAGTTCTTATTTCAATATGAATTATTACTCTGTGGTTTTTCCATCAGTGTTTACTACCTTTCTACACTTCCGTCATAATTTATAGGAGAGGCCCCAAGATGTATAATTGCATATTTAATATAGAATTACATCACTCAATATTTATGGCATAGTCATTGTGTGCTAGGTAATATACCCAGTGCTCTGGGTAATATACCCATGTGACTGACACCCCTCAAAGGAAATGTGAAGCAAGTCCTCTTTACTTCAATTGCTTTTTTTTTTTTTTTTTCTAGATGGCTGAGAAACTACACAAAAATCATTTAGAGAACAAAGACCTACGGGAGAAATTGCATACTCTTACCAGGCAATATAAGATTGTCTTAAGTGAGGAGGATAAACTTTTTATGCAGAAACAGAAAATTTACAATGAGTATGTTTCTATCCACGATCCGTATATGAATTGACATGCCATACTTATGGGGTGCTTTCCCTGGCCACAAAATGGTGACTCCCCACTTCACCTTATCCTAGTTTTCAAATCTGTTGACAACAGTGAAATATTATTTCCCCAGAATAAATAAACACACTCCTAATCTGCCTCTCTATATACTGGGTAATGCTTTCCTCCTACGGGTCAGATCAAATCCATAAACACCGTGTGTGTTACATTTACTTCTAAATCAGATTCTTGAAAAAAAAAAATAATAATCCTGCTTTTACCCCATGAGACTGTCTAGAGAAACTGTGAGAGGCACCTTTGTCAGAAACTGGCTTTGCACCTCTATTCCCTATCTCAGAGAAGGCTTTGGTCATTGACACAATCCCCTAACCCAGAGACTGGGAAATTATTCAAGGAAATTCCTATCTTTTACTCTCTGTTGGACTCCGTTCAAACACCAAGGCTTGTTGATTCTACCTCCCCGCTATTTCTCAAATATATCCCATTTTCCTCTCCAACTCCATTCTTGTCACCTCTTTCAACTTCTTTGCTCTGGCTTGTCCCTCAAAAGTTCTTCCCACTGTCAGCTTTACCCCCCTTCACTTGTTGCCCTCCCTTCCACCAGAATGATCCTTCTGAAACATCCTTCTGATGCCATTCCTTTTCATCAGTCACTGTGTTGTAATCCGTGGGGTACTGATCTCTCTGTCCCACTGAACTCTGACCAGATCAGGGTAGTTGTCCCGCCTTACTCACTGCTATATCCCCTTGGACACGGCTTAGAAAATAGTGGGCATTCACCAATAGATTTTTTTTTTTAAGATTTTATTTATTTATTTGAGAGAGAATGAGATAGAGCATGAGAAGGGGGAGGGCCAGAGGGAGAAGCAGACTCCCTGCTGAGCAGGGAGCCCGATGCGGGACTTGATCCTGGGACTCCAGGATCATGACCTGAGCCGAAGGCAGTCTCTTAACCAACTGAGCCACCCAGGCGCCCTCACCAATAGATTCTTAATGAATACAGAATAGTATCTTGCAAGCATGAATTATCTAAGTAATAATCCATCACTACAGGTGAAGTTAGATCACAGGGAAGCGTAATTACAGCGTCCAGGCGCACTTCTGTGAAACTGAGTTTGTGGTCCGTGCAGTATTTGAGGTGCAGAGAGTTGTTGCGATCATTGTATCAAACCCAATTGAGTTGCCTACTGAGAATCTGTTGTTAGTAGTTCTTTAGGCAAAACTTTCCCCCAGATCAATACTAAGTTATCAGTTTTAATCATAAAATGTGCTGATGAGAAATAATTGTAACACTAAAACATTTAACTGTTGTTACTGGTTTTTGTCTAGAGCTGGGGCTTCCATAACTAAACACCATACACCGGATGGTTTCAACAGCAGAAACTGATTTCTCAGTTCCGGAGGCTGGGTGTCCAGGATCAGGGTGCCTGCATGGTCAGGTTCTCATTAAGAGTCCTTTTTCCTGGCTTGCACACGGCTGCCTTCTCACTACGTTTTTACATGGTAGAGAGAGGGAGAGGACAGGCTCTCTGGTGTCTCTTGGTACGAGGGCCCCCACCCCATCATGACCTCATCTAATCAGGTGACCTGATCACTTTGCAAAAGCCCCATCTTCAAATACCATCAAACTGGGTATTAGGGCCTCAACGTATGAATTTGTGGGGGACACAATTCAGTCCATAGCAGTTTTGAAGAAGATGGGACACTTACATTTTGAAGAAGATGAGACACTTACAAACAGAGCACTTTCTGTTACAGGAATGTCCCTCTCAATGTCTGGAAAAAACTGACAAAACAAAAACAAAACTGTACACTTCCCATTATTCTCTCTGCAAATTGGAGGCAAAATATAACCACTTTTTATAAAATGCCTCGTGGGTGCCACGCCACACACTGGCTTGAGCAATTGACAGCTCATTTAATCCTGATACCTGCTGAGATAGGCATTATGGGCGCTATTTTATGAATGGAGAACTGAGGCTCATCCACAGGCAGATTTTCTTTTTGAGGTCATACTGCTAGAAAGAGATAAAGCTAGTATTTAAAGTTGGTCTGACGGACTCCTTCACTTTTCACAAAAGAACATGGTAGAATTGATAAATGCATTACAAGAGATGTCCCCACCCGGAGGGATGGAGTCTACAGAATTCTTGCGGTTTTATGATTACTATTGCAATTAATGCTCTTTCCATGGCTTGGGGATTTTCATAAGTTTAGATTTAGCCACCACTAGCAAAAAGGTTTTGTTTCTATTTTTACTAATTTGTTTGGTAAGTAGTTTATGAGCTGAACTTTCCAGCCTACTTTCTACATTCTTATTTGTGATTCTATATCCTCTTGGTGAGGAGTGAAAAATGATGATTTCACCCTTCAACATATGATAACTCTGTGTTTTTCCTGGTAGAAATCAGAAACAACTGGCATTTATTACTCAGAAAGAAAACTTCCTATCACAAAGAAAAGTAGACATCAAAAATATGGAAGAAGGACTTGTCACGCTCCATGATCTTCATCGGTAGGTTTGTTGCCTTGGAAACTTTTCATCTTCATCTTCTCTGCTTTTATTTTTTAATATATGATAACAATACAACTGATAACCTCTGATGTCCTATAGAAAAGGAGGCATATAATTCACTGTCTCTGTTTTAGAGTCTAGAAGAGTTATTATCATTGAATCTATTGTTGAAAGGATAGGCAGGTCCGAAGTTCCATACAAGCTGCTGGACATGAGAATGGACCAGTCATCAGCAGTTTAGTAACAAGAACGTGCCTGAACATTATCACAACACCGACCCCCTATGGTGTTCATTTCTGCCATTCTAAATCCCTTTAATTTTTCTGATTAAAAAAGTAATGCACCTGATTTTAAAATTCACATATGGAAATGTGTAACTTAGAAGACTAAAAGTTACCTTAATCTCCATCTCCCCCCAGAGATCTCACTGTTAGCAGTTTGCTATGCATGCTTTCCATATAGGAGTGTGTTTGTACATCCAAAAACTGGATTGCCCTTACATCTGGTAACTTACACAATATTATGTTTCAGTTATATCTCAAGAAGCTGGAAAAAATATGTCTGGGAAAATGATAAAACAAATACAGGAAATGGTAACATTTGGAGAAATTGGTGAAAGGGATATGGAAACACTTAACTGATTTTAAAATGATTTCAGAAGAAGACAAAATTCATGTATATGGGACCTCATTCCTCTCTTTAACTGTATAATATTTCTTTTACAGATTATGCTATGTTTTATTCAACTAGTACCCTACTGGTGGACTTTGTTTTTGTGTTTTCTATATACAAGCACTTTTCAAAGTTCACATCACATAAAGGTATACTTTAACATGTATATCTCTGTCCACCTATACAACTATTTCTTTATAATAAGGTCCTAAAAGTTGAATTACTGGATCAAAAGGGATTGCGTATTTTTCGTTTTTATAATTTGAATGTATTTTATTATTTGAATATAGGGCAGTAGAGGAACTAGCTTATAGAACTAAGATAGTGGTGATCAAATTTGACCTGTACCAACAGAAATCTAGAACACGGCAGGATGTGTGGTTTGCTTGTCCTTAGGCTGTTAAACCGCATATTTAGACATTTCTCATGTTGGTTTCAGAAGAGAAACTATGAACTCTTCCCTGTGAAAGAGCAGGAAAACAGAATTGGGTTGAGTAGGGGTCCTATTTTCCACATGAGTAATGCAGATTCCGTAACCAATTGTTACGCCATCATTGCTCTGAGCACCAGGAAGCTCAGAGCTAAATGTATGACCCAATATCAGTTTCCACTTAGGACTTTTTATATTACTGTTCCGTTATTTTAAACCAGTTCAACTCCTTGGTGGATTAAACCAAATACGTAAGTAAATAAAATCAATGAGGTTGGGGCACATTGTGAAGAACCTTGCAGTTCCAGGGGAGGGTAATAGATTTATTGAGGTGGGAAATCAAGAGCCCACACTATGATTCAGAGAAAAAAAGCAGGAACATGGTTATATTTCTAGTTTCACAACATTACACATTCTGTTTCAGTTATAAATATTTCTATTTTCCAAAAGGCATAAAATCACATTTTACTTTTCTACATATGAAGCACTAATAGGAAAAAGGGAATAAAAATAATCAAGGCTTCTAAGACCTGTGTTAGACTTCATGTTTCTAGCCATCCTAGATTCACAAGAAAATCTTCCATCCTCAATTGCTACTTAACCCTGGTACAAAAATCAATATAGGCTTTCTGAATTACACATTGCATCAAATCAAGACTCAGTCTAGAATCCAAAGTTCCTCACCAGTTTTTTGACCTTTACCCATCCTGTGTCACCATTATTACCTCCCTTGATGTCCTCTGTCTGCAGCAAGTCTCTGTTGGTCAGAAGAGTCTTCACTTCTTCTTTTCCATGTCTTTGCAAATGATGACGCCCTTTCCATGGTGGAATTCCACCTCCATTCTGGGAATCTGTCTTCTTCCCTCTGTTAAACATTAACCTCCAATAACCCTTCCTCAGTTACCTCCCCAGAATCTGTTCTTCCTTTCCCTTGGGTATCCGCCATGATACTTGCAAAGTCAGTTTGCACTTGTACGAAATCATTATTATCTTTCTCTGAGTCTACCACTACCTTTAGTTGTTTCACTAGGTTTGGTTTGTCTCCTGATTAGATGGTAGTCTTCTTGTGCACAAGAAGGTTGTATAAAGTCTTTTATAGATTCTGCTAGCTACCATGAATGCAAAAACCCAATGTACGTTTTCTTGTTTTCAGAGCAACAAAAGCAGTTTATCGGAAACAAATAAAAATCCTGAATGATAACCTGGAAAGAGAAAATCAGAGATGGTAAAAAAAAAATCATTTGTGTTATGAGTAGTATATGTTTATCTTAATGAACAGTGCCCCAAAGTAGGGAGGAAATCAGGGTACTTGTTGCTTGCTAGGGTCCAAGGAAATTAGTTTCCTAAATTGAATTGTGTGAGTTTTCTCAGGTCTAGATGTGTTTGTTAGTTTGATGTTGGGGCATTGAACAGACCCAGAGTTTTCCATTTCAATCGAGTAAACTCACCAAAGAGTGAAATTGCCAAGATTTGTGCAGTGCCTCTTGCTCACCAGGCTTCTGTGGGGACCAGTAGGGGAGGGGACAGAGGAGCGCGGATAAACGGACAGGCTCTGGAGACGGGCTACTTTGGCTGCTTTGTCTCCCGCTAGTTCTGTGACCGAGGCTGCGTTATTGAGCAGTCTCTCTGCTCCAATTCCTATCAAGTAGCCGATGATGGTAGCACCCACCCCGCGAGGTCACCATGAATAGTAGAGGAGATGGTCTATATCAAGTATCGAGATGACTCCCTGGCACCTAGGAAGTATTCACAAAAGCTTAGTTGTATTTTACTGTTGTTGTCATTGCTATTAATATCATGTATAAGACTCCAATTGCACATTTTGACCCTTCTCCAATGTAGCTTTTTTATGTTGCAGTGGAGAGAAAAATTTGAGAACCCAGAAGGTTGAAATCCCTAATTAGCCTTCTGGGTAATTTAGGGAATTTCCGTACTATTTCTGCCTGGGTCTCTTCTCTCCGCCATCCGCCCCTGAACCTTCCCCATTTCTATCCTTTACCTAAAGGAGGGGAGCTGCCACGTGTGGTTTGTCCACTGTCCTGCTGGACGTACCGACACGGCCCATGAGATGTAGCAGCTGGTGAAGACAGACCATGTTGACACAGTTAGCACTTCAGCTTATTTTTTCAGCTGATGTGCATGGTCCGCATCACCAAGAGCACAGTTTTGTATAATCATAGTAAGATTTGTTTTGCTTTGAATTCCTTCATCTTTTCAGGAAACGGTTATGTCAATTTAATGATGATTCTTTGTGTTTTAATTTCTAGTATTATAACTCAGTGGAAAGTGGCTTGTTTGCGAAAAAAACATGCACGTTGGATAAAGAGGCTAAACACTGAAATAGGAGAAATTTTAGATAAAATTCAGACTTCGGAATTCAGACGCACTGAATTATTACAAGAGGTAAAGGAACTCAGGGGAATTAATAGTATTACTCCATATTAGTATGGACTTAGAATTATTACTGCGTATCAGTGATTCTCCTTCAATGCCTAATTAAACCTTACCTTATTAAAAGATGTTTTCATTTCTGGTGATGTTTAGAGTGAATTATTTAACTTTCTTAAGAAATGTATCTATTTGTTGTGTATTGACTGTAGGGATTTGGCAAACAAAGTAGCACTTCTCTCTAGAAGATGCTTTGGAAACAGGCAACCAGAAACTTATTTGATGTTAACTTTTGGGGAAACTCTCTCTCTAAAAAAAAAAAAAGACCAAACATCACTAATTCAGCTCTAGTAGTGGCCCTCTGCCCACCCTCCGGCCCCCACCACTCCCATTCCCCATTTCCTCATGCAGTTTATAGATATTGTTTGGTGACTAAATTAACCTCTGCAGGGAAAATGAAGTGTTCCTCTCAGTGGTTACTATGAAATAATATAACCTAACACTGGAACCAAGTCTCATGCAAAGAGATATTCACTCTTGGCTGTTTGAAAATGTAAGGCTGACAGATACAAAGGCAAACGGCTAATCTTCAGGTTTTGGTGTTTTGTTTTTTTTTTTTCTTTTCTAATTAGACCACTGTACGAGAAAAAGAGATCAGTGAATTTTTGGCAGAGATTGAAAAAGTTACATTGGAATTAAAACAAGAGAAGGAGGAATTTATTGTCAAAGAAAACAAGTTAATTCAAGAGTTGAGCAAGTATGAGGTAAATTTTGTTTTACATCTAAGAATAATTTTAGATGAATCTATGGGGGGAGGGGGTATAGTTCATGCTATTCTACTCAGTTCAGTGTAAAATCTTCCAGTGTGAGCAAGGCTACAATTTCATTATGATCCTTCCTTTTTTTTTTTTTTCCTTAAAAAAGAGCAACAAAAACTTTTTTTTTTTTTTTTCAGTTAGAAAAGAAAATCAGACACTCCCCGTTAGGTAGAAGTGCTGGCAAGGTCCATGGGACAGGTGGAGGACAGCAGGAAGCCATGGCGAGCTGGCACGGGACTGGCTGGGGAAAGCAGCAAGGGGTGAGGGAGGCCAATCAGGCCAAACTCAGCAATCCTCATTAAAGAGCGGGCATCCCACTGAGTTGGAGCTACCAGGCAGTCCGCATGGGATGAGCACGGATGCTGGGTGAGGTGGAGAGAAAAGGCACGGAGAGTACCCAGGGGGCCCAGAGGTGGCTGGTCTCTGGAAACACAACAGAAGACACCCATTTTCAAGGTGATGCTTTTACCTTGAAAGGTAAGGGGCTGTTTCTCGGAGACCTAACTTGGTACATTGGAATGAGGAGAAAAGGGATGGTGGGAGAAGCCCTCCTGAACTTGATTCGTTTTGAAGAGGAAGAGGCCTGGCTGCATGAAAGAGGGGCTTTCTTTGAAGACAACAGTCCCTTGCCGGAGCGGGGCAAGCAGGGAGTCCTGACGTTTCAAAGTTTAGATCTTGCCAAGCCCTCTCCTCCCTGCACAACCCTCACCAAATCCTGCAGAAACCGTCCGCAGTTAACTGGTCCAAGAAAAGCCAGTGCTTTCTAATAGGAATGACAGAAAAGGAGCAGCCATATCCTCCACACAAAAACACTAAGAGAGAAACAAAGGGGCAACAGAAGTTTCCAACAACTGAAGAACGCTCAGAAAGATGGTGCTGGAACGCATGACATCTGTGATCAAATGCTCCTCCATAAATTTAAAAAAAAATTGGAATTTCGTAGAAGTGCCAAGGAAGATCAGCAACATAGAAATCTCGGAACTCAGGGAAGCGGTGTCTGAAGGGGATGGCGAGAAATAAGAAGAGGTGAGTTGGAAACTGGCACAAGTCAGGGAACAAAGAAGGGAGAGAAAGCACTGCACAAATTCAGACAACTTAGAAGAAACAAGGGAGAGGAGTCAGGGCGGGAAGCGGTTCTCTGTCGGTTGTCATCTGTCTGGGTGCCTAGTATTCTAGATGCTGAAACACACACACACACACACACACACAAAAAGACAGCAAAACTCTGCCCTTATGGTGCTTACATCCCAGTGGAGGGAGATTGAAAATAAACAAGATAAACAAGTGGCGGACATGATGGAACCCTCAAGCTCTCTGTGGGGGGCTTCTAAGCAAGGACTATCCATTAGCGGAGCCCTGCCTGGGGCAGAAATGGCCCCACCCTTGCACCACCTTGCTCAGTCGATGGGGGGGGGGGCCACCCCCCGAAGAGCATGACCTTCACTAGATGACCAAGGAGACTCCGAAGGAGCGACCCCTGGAGGCTGGCAGCTGGCCACACTCCTTGCCACAAGGCAGTGAGTCATCCCTTGAGGGGCGATCCAAGAGGGAGGGGCGTTCCCAGGTCTACCGCCTTATAGACCATTGGGAGGACTTTGTCTTTTCTCTGCCTGGGCTGGCAAGCCGGAAGAGGGTTTGGAGTGAAGGGCTGAAATAATCTGATTTTCTTTTAAGTAGGATCTCTCTAGCTGCTATGTTGAGTAAAATTTAGGAAAGCAACGGTGGGTGCAGGAAGACCAATGAGGAAGCTAGGGCAATATTCCAAGTGGTTCAAGTAGCTTGAACCAGAGTGGTGACTGAGGAAGTGATCGAAAGTAGGCAGTCCGCATGTCAGGTATTTCTTGAGATAGAGCTGACAGGGTTTACCATCATCCTTAATGGTAAACCAATGGAGGCAAGCCCCTTCAAGTCAGCAGTAAGGTAAGGACGCTGAGTAACATTGCATTTGAGCTCAAACAGTGCAATTAGGCGAGATCAGTAGACCGTCCTCCCTGCTTGCCAGGCTGTGCGCCCGCTGCAGGGCTGTGCCCACCTGTGTCTAATTCACACAAAGGCATGGACAGATGGCAGCTTGTGTGCCACTTTTATGAAGCAACACCCCCCTTTCCCCTTGGTAATCCTCATCAATAACCCAGAGCAAATTGGAAATTGGAGTCCCATTTCTGCCTTCGGTGCCGTGGCATGAGGAGCCACAGGCTTCTACCTTAGTCTGATCCAGTGCTGACGCAGTGAGCACGAGTGGATCTGCTGCGCCCTACAGCCCCGTGTCTGGCAGGGTTCAGTCTGAGCAGCAGAGCCACCAGGAAAGGGGTCCGTTAGAGGATTGGACCTTCTGCAGCGGGGGGAGCTGGTTACACAGTCTAGTGAGGCTGTCAGCTTCCCATCTGGAGCTGGGGGCTGAAGGCTGCAGGGCAGGCAGGTGGGAAGGGAAGGTGGACAGGAAGTCACAGGATGAGCTGGAACTCATCCCTATGAGCAGGGACAGGGACCTGCATCAGTCTCTCTCTTTTCCAAGGCTCCAATTCCAAGGGGTTGTGGCAAAAGCCAGAGCCCATCATCACTGAACTAAGTGTGCATGTGGCTCAGGACTGGGGGAAGCTTGAAGGAGCTGAAGAAGCTGTGGTTCTGACTGACTGAGCCAGTAGACAACTCAGGCTAACGTGCCTGAGATGCAGCAGCACCCGGTACCCAAACCCTCCCCGAAAGCATGAAACAAGAGCGTGGTTTCTTGTCAGGGCAGTGCTAGCAGCTAAGTCTGTGTAGGCGATGGGGATGAATTCGTGCATTCACATACCTCCTGAGACCCCCAAGCTATTCTCTTAGAGAACGTAGTATAGCTAATACACAGTTGAGTTTCATAACACTGCAGCATGGAAAAATTTACTCCCGATTCTGCATTTTAATAGGTTTAAATTATGGTGGTGTTTTGTTTAAAGATTTTATTTATTTTAGAAAGAGAGCACGTGAGCAGGAGGAGGGGCAGAGGGGGAGGGAAAAGGACAAGCAGACTCTGCACAGTATAGAGCCTGGTGTGGGGCTCAGTCCCACAACCCCAAGATCATGACCTGAGCTGAAACCAAGAGTCGGCCACTTAATTGACTGAGCCACCCAGGTGCCCTGTTAAATTACGGTGTTTTTATGTATCTTTTTGTCTTTCTGTATTTATTCCTAAGGACTTAATGGCAGTTTGGGAGGGGACATATTAGGCTGGCACTTCACTGTATTAATTAGGGCACAGACAATCTGTTTTATCAAAGAGATGCCAAGATACAGTGAACAAAAGCAAGACACGTGTAGTTAAGGGTTAGCAACCCTCTCTCCTTTATTGGGAAATTGACCTTGGCTTAACTTTCTGGGTCATTCCCTAGAGCCTGGTAAAATTAGACAACTAAAATTGTATTATCAGGCAACATTGTTTGTATAAAATGACCCATGATTGGTATGCTGCATCTTGATGGGGAGAATAACTGGTGGGAAACTAGAGCATTGGGTTTCCCTGGGCTTGGTGCCTCTTCTAAGTGGGCATGTCCCTTCCGGGGACCTAGAAGGTATACCCAAAAGGTGTTGTTCCTATTTGAGCATGAGACTTTAAAGCCAGGGAGGCTATCCCATCCACCTATGTGGGTGTCTTCCTCTTCCATCTGAGTTATCACTTTGTTGGGGGTCAAAGGACACTAGCATCTGGTCAGCTGTGTTTGAGGGTACCTCCCTGGGGAAGCATGCCAAGCATTGCCCTCCTGATACTCGGGGGTTCCTTTGGATTCTGTGTGTATGCAACTTGGATAAAAATAAAAAGTAAAAAAAATTTTTTTTACGAATAAAATGGGTCAAGTATGACCTATTCAAATCTTAAGAGTCTGAGTATCTAGTTGAGAAGATCCCCTGATGTGATCATTACAGAAGAGAAATGTTTACTTCTCTTTCCCATTACAGGCCAAAGGGAAGGGTCCAAGGTTGGCAGGGCAGCTCCGCCATCCTCAGCATGAGGCTAACATTGGTGGATCCAAGTAGCAGCTTACCTTCTCGTTCTTTTCCAGCCAGGCGAGGGAGGGAAGGACCAAGGGGACACATGCTGCTTCCTGTTGAAGGGGGAGGACCCAGAAGTGGCACACATCACTTCAGCTCACAAACTCGTTAGTCACACCCACTTGCAAAGAAAGCTGAGAAATCGCTGTAGCTGGCAGCCATGTGCTAAACTAGAGGCAAGAAGTCCTGATATTGAAGGACAGGAGAATAGCTCGTAAATGTCAGCTGGCTGTCTCTGCTGTAGTCACCATTATAAACCCATCCTGACTTTCTAAGAGAGGTCCAACTATTATTCCCTTTGAAACTAAATAAAACCTGAATAATTAAGCGAGCATCTTCATGTTTTGTTTGGGGCAATTTCTGCCCATTTAGTGTAGTAATATATGTAATTATTTCTATCCCCTCCCCATTTCTTACTTACATCCACACTTCTTAGGACTTGTGTGTATTCTGTTTTGCTCCCTGTTTTTTTTTTTTTTTCCATAAAATATGATCAACTAAGATTTTCTCAAACAGGTGTTTAGGGTAGCATTAATGGGATCTTAGCAGTAGAGCCAGAGAACTGAATAGATCTTTGGAGAGCCCATTGAATCTAATCTCCTTACCTTATAGATTGCCAGAGAGTCAATCAGCCAACAAATACTTTTCAAATACGTAGTGTGTGGCAGATACCTTTCTGTACATCTCAGGGTAAGAGGACACTAAGGCAGAACTCTCCCTCTTGAAGAACTTACATTCTACTTTGGAGTGTAAATTGTGTACATTCTCCAAAATTGTGCTCACAATTAGCTTTTTTTTTTCTTTAAAGAAAAGATTTGTTGAGGAAACGCAAAGTAATAAAGTGAAGGAAGAGGAGCTAGTCGAGTGTCTTCCACAACTTCAAGCGGCAGAAGAAGAGTACAAAAGCAAAAGTGGAAAACTTGAAGAGCTCAGTAATATTATTACAGGTATGTATGAGGCTCTTAGGAATTGACCTTAAGCCCAGGTAAGGATTTCCTGTTGTCTTCTAACACGAGGGGGGTCATCAGTCACAAGCTGATTCTCCAAACTTTTCCTATCACCTTTAATTCCCTCTTCTCTACTTTTTGCCTCATCTACTAATTTCTTCTCCTTTACATCACAGTCTTACTGTTGCTCTTGTTAAATTTTTCCTTTTCTCTTTTAAAGACTTTAAGAATTAGTAGCAACTGTATTATGTGGTTTCTCTCTGTACTTTGTAAAGGTAGAAAACACTCCTTTAACTGCTACCATGTGGAGTGTTTTTTGTTTCTTTTTTTAAAGATTTATTTATTTTAGAGAGAGAGCAAACAATCAGGGAGAGGGGTATAGGGAGAGGTAGAGAATCTTAAGTAGATGCCCCACTGAGCACAGGGATAGAAATCAAAACTGTCTGTGTCAAAAAGATACAATCCTATAGAAACCCAGTATATTGAAATGTAAAACAAATATTTTAAAGTGAATAGTGGTAATTGCCAAGGAAAGTGAATTTTAAGAATATAAGATTATAAGCCCCAAATAACCAAAGTAATATTGAAAAAGAAAACCAAAGCTGGAGGCATCACAATTCTGGACATCAAGCTGTATTACAAAGCTGTAATCATCAAGACAGCATGGTACTGACGCAAAAACAGCCACATACATCAGTGGAACAGAATAGAGAGCCCAGAAATGGACCCTCAACTCTATGGTCAACTAATCTTTGACAAAGCAGGGAAGAATAACCAATGGAGGGGCGCCTGGGTGGCTCAGTTGGTTAAGCGACTGCCTTCAGCTCAGGTCATGATCCTGGAGTCCCGGGATTGAGTCCCGCATCAGGCTCCCTGCTCGGCAGGGAGTCTGCTTCTCCCTCTGACCCTCCCCCTCTCATTCTCTCTCTCTCTCATTCTCGCTCTCAAATAAATAAATAAAATCTTTAAAAAAAAAATACCCAATGGAAAAAGACAGTCTCTTCAACAAATGGTGTTGGGAAAATTGGACAGCAACATGCAGAAGAATAAAACTGGACCACTTTCTTACACCATACACAAAAATAGACTCAAAATGGATAAAAGACCTAAATGTGAGATAGGAATCCATCAAAATCCTAGAGGACAGCACAGGCAGCAACCTCTCTGACCTCAGCAGTAGCAACTTCTTGCTAGACATGTCTTCAAAGACAAGGAAGCAAAAGCAAAAATGATTGGGACTTTATCAAGATAAAAAGCTTCACAGGAAAGGAAACAGTCAACAAAACTAAAAGGCAACCTATGGAATGGGAGAAGATATTTGCAAATGTCTTATCTGATAAAGGGCTAGTATCCAAAATCTATAAAGAACTTATCAAACTCAACACCCAAAAAATGAAAAAATCTAGTCAAGAAATGGGCAGAAGATATGAACAGACATTTCTGCAATGAAGACATCCAGATGGCCAATAGACATATGAAAAAGTGCTCAACATCACTCGGCATCAGGGAAATACAAATCAAAACCTCAATGAGATACCACCTCACACCAATCAGAATGGCTAAAATTAACAAGTCAGGAAACAACAGATGTTGGTGAGGATGCAGAGAAAGGGGAACCCTCCTACACTGTTGGTGAGAATGCAAGCTGGTGCAGCCATTCTGGAAAACAGTATGGAGGTTCTTCAAGACATTAAAAATAGAACTACCCTATAACCAACAATTGCACTACTAAGTATTTATCCAAAGAATAGAAACTTAGTGATCTGAAGGGGCACCTGCACCCCAATGTTTGTAGCAGCAATATCCACAATAACCAAACTACAGAAAGAGCCCAGATGTCCATCAACAGATGAATGGATAAAGAAGATGTGGTGTATATATATACATACATACAATGGAATATTACTCAGCCATCAAAAAGATGAAATCTTGCCATTTTCAATGATGTAGATGGAATTAGAGGCTATTATGCTAAGCAAAATAAGTCAGAGAAGGACAAATACCATTTGATTTCACTCATATGTGGAATTTAAGAAATAAAACAGATGAATGTAGGGGAAGGGAAGGGAAAATAAGAGGAAAATAGAGAGGGAGACAAGCCATAAGAGACTCTTAACTACAGGAAACAAACAGAGTTGCAGGAGGGGAGGTGGATGGCGGATGAGGTAACAGGGTGATGGGCATTAAGGAGGGCACTTGAAGTAATGAGCACTGGCTATTGTCTGCAACTGATGAATCACTAAATTCTACCTCTGAAACTAATAATACAGTATATGTTAATTAAATTTAATTTAAATAAAAATAAAAAATATATAAGGTTATAAGAATAAGTACTTTGGATAATTGGTCTGGTTGCCATTCCTCCATTGATTTTCCAATTATTGCCAGATTTTCATTTAGTTAACTCAGGTAGATTTTTGTTTGTTTGTTTGTTTGTTTGTTTGCTACTTCTACAAAGAGTCATGATACACATGTAGTCCATCCCCAATCTTTCCTCCCGTCCCTTCTTGTGCTAGGTGGAGGATGTAAGAAACAGGATGAGTATGAAAATAAGCAATGTATTGCCATATATTGCAAGTTCTGATTCTCTTGAGGCAAAGAAAAGAGAGAACTACTAAAGAAAGTAGAGAAAAGGGGCGCCTGGGTGGCTCAGTCATTAAGCGTCTGCCTTCGGCTCAGGTCATGATCCCAGGATCCTGGGATCGAGCCCCACATCGGGCTCCCTGCTCCGCAGGAAGCCTGCTTCTCCCTCTCCCACTCCCCCTGCTTGTGTTCCTACTCTCACTGTCTCTCTGTCTGTCAAATAAATAAATAAAATCTTAAAAAAAAAAAAAAGAAAAAGAAAGTAGAGAAAAGATGGGAAGGCAAGAGAAAGGTAGAAAAGGGACCATAAGAGCAATGTGTTCCAGAGAGTAGGAAAATATGCTTCACCTGCCAGCAGTGAGACTTACAGAGGATAGAATCGGCTCAGTACATATAAAAAACAATGCAATGACTTTTGGTTAAATATGATGGGTAAAACATGCATCTGTCTTTTCTCCCTAATGAAACTTCATAAAAAATATATGTAAAAGATGTTTTTTTAGGGAAAAAAGTTATAAACTCACAAGTACAGAGACTGGCAGAGAAGATATCCACAGATAATAAGCATCAACAAATTTTTAGAAGGTGTAATTGGATAGATTTGTTAACAGGAAGAGAAATATGAATAGCAAGTGCCTGCAAAAAAGCATACCATGAAAGCAAGATGTTCTCTTCACAGGAGAGACAATGCCAGGGCAAGTCTTGGGCATTGGAGGACCCTGATACCTTGAAGCTGAGATGAGTCACGGGGCTGAAGATTGGTTGAAAATCTTTATAACAAGCAATGAGACCTGCAGGTCAGATGCCCTCTTCTGTGCAGCTGAGTGACTATTCCTTCCAACAGATTCTAAACTGCAGGATAGCAAATATGACTGAGGGTAGAAGACAGATGCTGTACAGAGACCCCTTCCATTGCTCAGCTTGACGAAGGCTGCCAGCCAGTTGTGTGTGACTATTCTGTAATCCCTTCCCCACTCTGAAGAAGGAGGTGGTTGGATTCTTCTCTAAGGAAACCAAACCATCTCAGAGAAAAGCCCTACATAATCTAACATTTAAGGATTCCCCCAACAAAATGCCTTGTCCCTTCCTGATTACTGTGTAGTGAAGCCCACCCAGGAACTGAAATTTTAGTGCCTCATGCTTAAATAGGATTAGACAATCAAAGATGACCAGACACCTCAGGAAAAATTCCAAAATGAAAGGTAGAAACTAAAGCGGACAGAAAAACAGAAGTTGATGGAAACATAGATGACACAAAGAATCTGAGAATACTTTTAAAGATATATTCTCAGAGAATATATATTCTCTCTATATTATATATAATGTGTATTTATAGTCTCTACATATTATACAAAGTATACATTCTATATGTTATGGAGGATATAAAAGTTATATTTGTAGAGGAAAAAGATACTGCATTTATGAAAAAACAAGATGCTTAAAGAACAGAAAACAAGAAAGAGTTCTTAGAAATGAAAAATATAACAACCAAAATTTTAAAATTCCATAGGAGGATTCTAAGAAAAGTTGAGGAAATCTCTCCAAAAATAGAACAAAAAATAAGGAGGTGAGGAACAGGATAAAAGAGTAAGAAAATTAGAAGACTATTCTGAGATGTTGACTAACAGGAAGGCCAGAAAAAAGAAGATAGAAAAAAATGCAAAGGATAAAGTTATCCAAGAAATAATACAAAAATATTTCTCAGAATTGGAGAATATGGTTTTTCTATTTGAAAAGGCCCATCAAATCCCCAGTGCAATTTTTGAAAGAAAAGACACTAAGTACATCACTTTGGGATTTCAGGAGGAAAAAAAATATCCCAAAGGCTTCTAGAGAGAAAAAGCAGATCTTACACAAAATATTAGTAATCAGAATGGTTTTAGACTTCTTAACTGTAATATTATACTAAACGTTAGAAGACATTGCCTTCAAAATTCTGAGAGAAAATACTTTCCAACATTAGCTGCCCATCCAAACTATTAGTCAAGTACAAATATAGAATAGAGCTGCATTCAGATATATAAGACCTCAAAATGTTTCATTTACTCTGTCTCAAGAAGTTAGTACAAAACTTGCTTCGGCAAAGAGGGAATAAATCAAGAAAAAGAGGACGATGTGAAATTCAGGAAACCGGAGTCCAGCATAAGGGGGATGCAAAGGAAAGTCCCAGGTGTTCAGCCGTGCAGGAGGCCTAAAGAAAAACAAACACAGAAAGCAGTGGGGAAGGGAAGGTGAATGGAGCTGATAGATCACCTAAGGTGTTTGACCACATGAGAAGTAATATTTGGAAGATTTTACAATTCTATTACAGATTTTAATGAATTAATGTGTACATGGAAAACTAAGCAAGTAAAAAAAAAGTGAGGCTATTTTTAACTCCTAGAAAAACAAAAAATTATACCAGAGAGGAGGTATAATTATACAACACCATTTGTCTCATCTGTGAATAATATTTACATTGTCATAATCTAAATAGTTAAAATTCATTTTAAAAAACATGAATTTATGGGGAGGTTAGAAGGGGGAAACATAGAGGTAGGTTGTAAGTGTGGGAGGGGGACATGGGAATGGGAGTAAGCATTCTATGTTCTCTTCTATATTAGGAAGAAAGTAGAAAATGTCTTAAAATGACAAATCAAGAAATAGCCATATAAGCATTTATTAAAAAAATGAAAGGAAAAGTCAAAATGAGTTTAAAAATGGTTAATTCAGAGGAGTCAAACATAAGGGTGGGTACTACATTGGAAAGCACCTGACGTCTGTTTTTTGTTATAAGCCTTATAATAGTATATGACTTTTAAAATTAGGCACATGCCTTATTTTCATTTTTTAAAGCTAAACATTGTGGGTATTTATTTTTTCTCTTATAGCACAAAAGCAGGAACAGAGTTTACTAAATGATTACATTTCTCAAATGGCAAAAGACTTTTCGAGATATTTTAGCAACACGGTAAAGAGTCAATGCATTCCTTCTTTCATTTATTAGAATACTGATATATACAAACTGTAATTGTGTGTGTGTGTATGTATGTAAACATAGAGACTCTAGACGCAACTAACATGTAATCATGGGAAAATCATTGGGGGGGGGGCTCAGTTTTCTTATTTAAGTTAGAGATTGGAAGATGCTTTCTAAGGTTCTTTTCAGATCTGTTATTCTGTAATTTCCTGTGAAGACCAGGATAAGTGCACAGAGGTTGCAGAGGTGGGGAGGGAGTGGTCTATATGAAATGAGAGAAGGTAAAGAGACGTTTACTACCTTTTTAAAATGTATAATCAATAGTTAATGATAAACATATGTGTGTAGAGTTGGCCAGTTAAAAATAGAAACATTCTATTTTTTGAGATGCACTGATATCAAAAGTAACTTTTGACATGTTGTGGATATAGAGAAAGATGAAGGGGAAGAGTACTAGTAAGTATATTATATATGCAATTGTATTTTCTTAGTAAGATTCTGCTAATGATGATTATACAATGACTAAAGATTATGTGATTTATAACAGTATAATGACTAAGAACCAAATACAGAATTCAGTAGAAAATTCTGAAAAATCCATAAAGTAATATTCTTTTCTCCTCAAGAAATACGAAATTTTCCCTGAAAAAGGCTCAATAAAGTCCACTTCTTTCTCCCCCATTTTTGCCATACAGTTGTTCATATATCAAATATATTCTATTTTATGAAATTGTTTCAACAACTTGTCTTAACTTGCTTCCCAGAGTTTATGAAAAAATTTCCATAAATCAGCTTTGGAGTTTTATTTATTTTTTATTCAGGTATAATTAACATATAGTGTTATATTAATTTCAGGTGTACAATATGATCTTTCAACAATGCTATTCAGTACGCAGTGCTCATCACAATAAGTGTACTCTTAATCCTCTTTACTTACTATACCCATCCTGGCACCCACCACCCCTCTGGCAACCACCAGTTTGTTCTCTGTATTTAAGAGTCTGTTTTTTTGTTTGTGTACTTTTTTCTGTTTGTTTTGTTTCTAAATGCCATGTAAGAGTGAAATCAATATGGTATTTGTCTTTCCCTGGCTGACTTATTTCACTAAGCATTATACACTCGAGGTCCATCCATGTTATTGCAAATGGCAAGATCTCATTTGTTTTTTTGACTGAGGAATATTCCATTCTGTATATATATACCACATCTCCTTTATCCATTCATTTATCCATGGACACTTAGGTTGCTTCCGTATCTTGGCTATTGTAAATAATGCTACAATAAACCAAGGGGTCGATATATCCCTTTAAATTAGCTTTTCATATTATTTGGGTAAATACCCAGGTAGTACGATTCCTGGATTGTAGGGTATTTTTATTTTTAATTTTTCAAGGAAACTCCATACTGTTTTCCACAGTGGCTGTACCAATTTGCATTCCCACCAAAAGTGCCCGATGGTTCCTTTTTCTCCACATTCTCACCAACACTTGTTGTTTCTTGAGTTTTTTGTTTAGCCATTCTGACAGGTGTGAGGTGATATCTATCTCATTGTGATTTTGGTTTGCATTGTCCTGCTGATGGGTAATGTTGAGCATCTTTTCATGTGTCCGTTGGCCATCTGAATGTCTTCTTTGGAGAAATGTCTGTTCATGTCTTTTGCTCATTTTTAAATTGGACTACTTGGTTTTTTAGTGTTGAGTTGTATAAGTTCTTTATATTTTTGGATACTAAAAGTGTATGTCAGATATGTCATTTGCAAATATCTTCTCCCCTTCATCAGGTTGTTTTTTAGTTTTGTTGATTGCTTCCTTTGCTGTGCAGAAGCTTTTTGTTTTGATGTAGTCCCAATAGTTTATTTTTGCTTTTGTTTCCCTTCCCTCAGGAGACATACCTAGAAAAATGTTGCTGTGGCTGATGTCAGAGAAATTACTACCTATGATCTCTTTCAGAATTTTTATGGTATCAGGTTCCCCATTTAGGTCTTTAATCCATTTTGAGTTTATTTCTGTGTATGGTGTAAGAAGGTGGTTTAGCTACATTCTTTTGCATGTAGATGTACAGTTTTCCCATCACTGTTTGTTGAAGAGACTGTCTTTATTGCATATTCTTGCCTCCTTTGTTGAAGATTAATTGACCATATAATTGTGGGCTTATTTCTGGGCTCTCTAGTCTGTACCATTGGTTTATATGTCTGTTTTTGTGCCATTACCATACTGTTTTCATTACTATGGCTTTGTAGAATATCTTGAAATCTGGGATTGTAATACCTCCAGTTTTGTTCTTTTTAAGCTTGCTTTGGCTATTCAGGGTCTTGTGATGTTCCATACAAATTTTAGTATTATTTGTTCTAGTTCTGTGAGAAATACTATTAGTATTTTGATAAGGATTGCATTAAATCCATAGATTGCTTTGGGTGGTATGAACGTTTAAACAATATTTGTTCTCCCAGTCTGTGAGTATGGGTTATCTTTCCATTTGTTTGTGTCATCTTCTATTTCTTTCATCAATGTTTTATAGTCAGAGTACAAGTCTTTCACCTCCTTTGTTAAGCTTACTCCTAGGTATTTTATTATTCTTGGTGCAATTGTAAGTGGGACTGTTTCATTAATTTCTCTTTCTGCTACTTCATTATTGGTGTATAGAAATGCAACAGGTTTCTATATATTGATTTTGTATCCTGCTAACTTAATGAATCCATTTATCAGTTCTAGTGGTTTTCTGGTGGAGTCTTCAGGGTTTTCTATATAGAGTATCATGTCATCTGCAAACAATGAAATTTTTACTTACCAATCTAGATACCTTTTATTTCTTTTTCTTGTCTAATTGCTGTGGCTCAGACTTCCAGTACTATGTTGGGGGGGGGGAACTTGTGAGAGTGGACGTTCTTGTCTTTTTCCTGATCTTAGGGAGAAAGCTATCAGTTTTTCACCATTGAGTATGCTGTTAGCTCTGGGGTTTTCATATAAGACCTTTATTATGTTGAGGTATGGTCACTCTAAACCTACTCTGTTGAGGGTTTTTATCATGAAAAATGTCATACTTTGTCAAATGCTTTTTCTGCATCTATTGAAATGATCATATGGTTTGTCTCCATTCCTTTGTTGACATGATGTATTATGTTGATTGATTTGCAAATATTCAACCACACTTGCATCCAAGGAATATCCCACTTGAATCCAGATGAATAATTTTTTTAATGTACTGTTGGATCCAGTTTGCTAGTATTTTGTTGAGGATTTTTGCATCTCTGTTCATCAGAGATATTGGCCTGTAATTTCCCTTTTTTGTAGTGTCTTTACATGGTTGTGGTATCAGGGTAATGCTGGCTTCATAGAATGAATTGGGAGGCTTTCCTTCATCTTCTATTTTTTTGGAATAGTTTGAGAAGAATAGGTATGAGCTCTTCTTTAAATGTTTGGTAGAATATACCTGCAAAGCCATCTCATCCTGGACTTTTGTTTGTTGGGAGTTTTATGATTGCTGATTCAATTTCATTGCTGGTAATCAGTCTGTTCAAATTTTCTATTTCTTCCTGATTTAGTTTTGGGGGATATGTTTCTAGGAATGTTTCCATTTCTTCTATGTTGTCTAATTTGTTGGCATATAATTTTTCATGATATTATTTTACAATCCTTTTCTGTTTTGTTTTCTGTGGTGTTGGTTGTGATTTCTCCTCTCTCATTTCTGATTTTGTTTGAGTTCTCTCTCTCTCTTTTATGATAAGTCTGGCTAACGGTTTATCAATTTTGTTTACATTTTCAAAGAACCAGCTCCCGACTTTATCCATCTGTTTTATTGTTTTTTTTTTCTTAATTTTTATTTCATTTATTTCTGCTCTAATCTTTATTATTTCCTTCATTCTACTGGCTTTGGGCTTTGTTCTTTTTTTCTAGCTCCTTTAGGTATAAGGTTAGGTTATTTGAGATTTTTCGATCTTCTTGGGGTAGGCCTGGGTTGCTATAAACTTCCCTCTCAGAACAGCTTTTATTGCACCCCCAAAGATTTTGGACTGTTATGTTTTCATTTTCATTTGTCTCCATGTATTTTTTTATTTCCTCTTTGATTTCTTAGTTGACCCATTCATTGTTTAGTAGCATATTTAAGTTACATATATATGTTCTTTCCAGATTTTTCTTGTGGTTGATTTCTAGTTTCATAGCATTGTGGTTGGAAAGGATGCATGGTATGATTTGTCTTTTTGAGTTTGCTGAGATTTGTTTTGTGGCCTAATATGTGATCTATTCTGGAGAATATTCCATGTGTACTTGAAAAGAATATGTATTCCACTGTTTCAGGATGGAATATTCTGAATATATCTGTTAAATCCATTTGGTCCAATATGTCCTTCAAAACCACTGTTTCCTAGTTGATTTTCTGTATGGATGATCTATCCATTGATGTAAGTGGGGTGTTAAAGTCTCCTATTATTATTGTATTACTATGGTTTCTTTTTTGATGTTGTTTGCTATGTATTTGGGTGCTCCCATGTTGGGGGCATAAATATTTACAAATATCTTCATGTTGGATTGTTCCCTTTATGATTATGATTCCCTTTATGATTCTTTTTCTCTTATTACAGTATTTTAAAGTGTATTTTTTCTGATATAAATATTACTATCCTGACTTTATTTTCACTTCCATTTGCATGGTAAATGCTTTTCCATCCCTTCACTTTCAATCTGCATGTGTCTTTAGGACTGAAATGAGTCTCTTGTAGGTAGTATATAGATGGGTCTTGTTTTTTTAATCCATTCCATTACCATATGTCTTTTGTTTGGAGTGTTTAGTCCATTTACATTCAAAGTAATTACTGATAGGTATATACTTAGTGCCATTTTGTTACTTGTTGTATTGTTGTTTTAGTAGTTCTTCTCTGTTCTTTTTTTCCTCCTGCTTGCTTCTTTCACATTTTGCTGGCTTTTTTAGTGACATACTCAGATTCCTTTCTCTTTATTTTTTGCATATCTATTACTGGTTTTTTTATTTGTGGT